ATAGTGAAACTCCCTGGATCTTTGCATTTCGGGGGCAAGTGGTTCTGCACGAGGGCGGAGCATTCCTCATTCAAGCTCACAGTAGCCACCCCCTCAAGCTTCTTCTTGTAGGTGAGGAGGTCTTTCAGGTATTTGGCTTACTTGGGCATTTCGGTGACAGCCTCCAGGTAGGTGATGTTTAAATGCAACTGGTTCATCAACTCCATGAAGTGGGAGAACTTTGCCGCCATGTGGTCGCAGCGAAGCCATGAAGGATATGGGAGAGTTGGGGTTTCTTTCCTCTTTTCTTGATCCAGTTGAGGGGTCGGAGTGACATCCTCTTCTTGAGAGATCGCTTTAGGGGTCGTAGAGTCGAGGTCCCTGTCACTCGTGGCTTCCGGCTGCGAGGGGAGGTTGCCGCCCCCTTGTTCATCTTCTGTAGCGAGCTGTTTCTTCTTAGGGGGTAGCTCTTTGGCCTCTCTTCCATTTCGAAGAGTCACGGCCACCACATCAACTTCGTCGACTGATTTCCAAGACTGAGCCGCCTGCGAGATACCCCTTATGCTGGCGGCTAGGTTGATCAAGTGGGTTTCCTGACTCTCCAACCCCGCCTCTATGGCCGAGAACTTCTCTGTTGCCTCTCCAATGAATATGTCGATTCTTTCAAACTTTTTGGAGCTGGAGGCGACAAAGTTCATCACCTCCTCCTCAAGGCGGGTCATCCGGTGGTACTCTACATCCTCATGGTTCCAACTTTCACCCCACTCCATGGGTGTTGCTACCCCGCTTACATGCTCTTTATCCTCGAGCATCATTCTGATCAACCGATCTAACTTTGCTTCAAATGGGGTCATACAGCTTCCCATCAAAGTCGAGGCTTCCTAGGAGTCGGAGAATCGGGTTGCTCCGGGTTATGCACCACCTACACACAATCGGAAAATACCAAGTCTAGCACAAGCAAAGAACACACACTTGCAAAACTGGAAATTAAAAGCTAGATTAACAACCAATAACTTTTTCAGAATAACAGACCGTTGTTCCCCGGCAACGGCACCAAAAACTTGACTCGCACGAAACTACACCACACTTAACCCCATTTAAAGCCCAAGTTTTTAAACTCTAATCGGGTGCAATGTAGGGCAAGTATTTAGATATCGACTCGGGTCGGTCCATCTACCCCTACTTCGGTTGTTGAAATCATTCTCTAGCGATAAAACTTTGGTTTAAAGGTTTTCTAATTGAAATGAAAGAAAGCGAAGGTAATTTGGTTTGAAAACTCTTTTGTGGGAAAGTCACTCGGGTTTCGCTTTCCCCTAACCGCTACCATGCTATGTGGATTGGACGATTGTCTTGGGCACGTTAATCGTGAATCGCAGAGGAAAGCGTATGTGGTCGGAGACCACAGTCTCAATTGCTAAACCGATGTGAGAATGAAGGCCGTGTCACTCGACCCTCTTGGTTTAGACAATCGGTAATCGACTTACTTCCTCACTCAACTCTAAGGTCGGACGGTTTAACCACGATTAATCGACTTGTTCAATTCAATATAGAGGGTTTCCCTAACAACCTAGTTTAGGTGGCTTAGAAAGCGGAAGGAAAACCAACTCGATTTAGTCTCCCTTGAAAGGGGGGATTTTCCTCTCTAAACTAGGCTAAGGTGGAAAATTAGATTACTAGCACCTAAATGCACAAACTTAGGGGTGCTAAGCACAAATATGCACAATCCCTAGGATTCTAAGCACAAAATATGCACAGCCCCTAAGTTGCTAAGCACAAGCATGCACAATCATGGTGAATAATGCCTCAAACATCAAATTGAACAATACCCAATATCAATCATCCAAACCACATACAAGAAAACTACATGGTAGAGTTAGGGTTTCACTACACCCAAGTGAAAGGAGGTCTACTCCATTGTAGAAGTGGGAAGAACAAAAGGGAAAAAGGTGGAAACCATCTTTTGGGGATGCCTCCTCTCTTCTTGACCCTTGAGCTGAGATCTCCTTGGAGAAATCTTCCCAAAATCTGCCTTGAAGCCAAACCCTAACCTTCTTCTTCCCTTTGATTATGTTTCTCTCACTAGAATGCTGAAGAAGGTGTTTCTCAAAAAAGTGGGCTCTTCCTCTCTCCTCCTTGCAGCTCAGATTTTAAACCTGAGAAGAGCAGAGTTCATGGCCGTGAACCATCAAACGCGTCCGTGAACTCAAGGCGTGCGCCAAAACGCTCTGCATCGCTCACGTCAGTTCACGGGCAACTGCTTGTGTTCACGGTCTTAGTGACTGTGAACTCACCTTGCGTCAGTAACCTTCACATTGTCTCTGGATGCCTCACAATTCACGGACAACTCCCCTTATTCAAGGTCTTGCACGACCGTGAACTCCTTCAGTTAGCCGTGAACTGGCTCTTTTTCATCTCGTCTCCCGGTTTTCGATCCTTTTCGCCAATCTTTCGACTCTGAGGCTGGTTCCACCTGTTAGATCCTGAAAAGCACTCAAACACGAAGAACCTCGCGTAAAACCAACTTTTAATGAGCAAATTTGGCACAAACATCTAAGTCAAACGGGGCCAAAACATGTGTAATTAGGCCCGAATCAAGAAGCTCGAAGAAGAAAAAGAAGTAGGAAGTGCCCTTTTTTTTTCTTTTCATCCCCTTTCCTGAGTTGGCACATTTGTGCTTGGTAGACTATACTGAGTTCACTTGGACTGGACTTTGTAACTGGGTTTGACCTGAGTTAACTTGGACTTAGTCTGACATGGAAACGGGCTTTGACTTGGGCCTTCTTTTATTTTGTACAATTGCTGACTGCAACTAATGTATTCGTAAGTTTGTGCTTAGTACAAAGTGAATAGAATTTATTTCTCTTCCATTATCATTCCAGATTCGATGTCTAAAGCCTCAAGATTCCAACGTCCATCTTAATCAACTAAAATAGTAATAACTTAAGCAATTGCCTAATTCATTGAACCAAAAAAATCACTTTCGAAACATATCGACCAAAAATTGAATTTGATATTTTCTCAAACCAACATTGAAATCTAAAGATTTTCTATTGCTAATCTTGATGGTTCACAACAAATATGTTTGCCCTAACCACTTCGAGTATCACTTTAGATGTTTAAGATAAGCGATTGTCAACCTTACACAACCATGTTTGTTTAATTAAATTGTCTTACAACCCGGACAAAAAGTGGTGTCTACAGCGACATCATGTGGAACAGGTTGGAAGACACTCATCAACATCCCGAGATATGGAGCTGCAAAAGACAAGGGGGAAACTCACGAGGTTTCACTATGCTAAAAGAACCTCAGATTCATATGGGGCATAGTCTCCATACTATGATCAAGCAGATAGATCAAAGAAGCAACGTGGTGAAATCTGCGAAGGGGAATGATGGGGAAGTGACGATGAAGGAAAGAACACCTATTATTGCTGGAGCAAAGAAACGAAGCTCTTATGGAAGAGTTGAGTAGCCTCGAAGCAAGCTTGGTGCCCATCAAGGAGACAAACCGCTATCCTCCTCTGACATAACTCATGTACAAGAACGGTGGAGGAAGCTGGTCCTAGAGGATTCCGATGTGGAGATGTCGCCCGCCATGCAGATGTCATTACGTGATGGCAACGAGGGCCATGTGAGGAGGAGGCTTGTGAGGCACCCAAATATTGGGTAAGAAATTCCCTCGAACAGATTTGAAGTGAGCCCAAACAATATAAAAATATGAAGATGGCGTCTTCTCCCCAGGCTGTTCACTCCCTTTTCATGGAGTCGATGTCGCAGCACCTAGTGCATGAGAATGAAGCTTCTCGCCTCAATCAGATTCGGAAGGGAAAGCGAAGGTTGTTTATAACTAAATAGATGTTGATGCATGGGAGGGAAACCTCATGGACAAGCCATGGGACATTCCTCGTTCTCCATCACCTGATATTGTTAGCTCTCTTAGTACCGAACTAGGGAAGGTGGATTTAGAAGACACAATGTCTGATGAAGAGGTGGCCCGTTTTGAGATTAAGAGTCAGGGTCGTGACTCAGAGCAAACTGCGGCGACTCATCCGCGAGATGGGCAAGTGCGGCAGGTTGTCAGAGCTTTTGAGTCGCGAATAGTGCTTAATAATGGAGGAATAGGAAGTCGTGGTGCCATTATTTCGCACCTTGAAGGGATATGACTTTGAAGGGGAGAGGTTGCCAGGTGAGGCGGAAATGGTAACCAAACTCAACGATTATAGGTCTAACATGATAGACCCAGGGATTGGAGGAAGGAAACGAGCACTGCAAGAGATTATGGGGACTTAGATGAGTTTCCCGCACCAAAGAAGCAGTTTGTGGAGGAAAATCTTGAAGAAGAAAAGGTGGAGGAAGCCAGCCTTGAGTGGTCCCAGGTGGATAAATGAAAATTCTCGCCTGGAATGTGAGGGGAATTGGACCATCACTCACATTCCAAACTATTGTAGGTTTAATCCATTCTAATAAACCGGAGCTTGTTTTCTTTTCTGAATAAGATCATCCCGGAGAGTAGTTTCCCGCAGATTATGAGGATTTGGTTTTCAATCCTCCCATTGTTTCTTTGAAGATGTGATTGATGCATCTGGTGGTCTTCTAGTAGCGTGGTCTCCCCAAAGTAGATGCTTCGGTGTTTTTTCATTCCAATTTCGCAATTTGTGTCAAAATTAATGAAATGGATCTTTCCTATGTTGTAGTGTGTGTCTACATTAGCTGTAATGAGTCAATAACAGCCAACCAATTGACCCAGCTTCGAGATATTTGTGAAGAAATCCACCTGCCTTTTGTGATCCTAGGGGATTTCAATGTTACTCTTAATGAGAGTGAAAAGGACGGTGGCAATCCATGGCATGAGACCAAATCAATTGCCCTCCGTCAATTTATTGATGATCTAGGCCTCCATGATCCGAGGTACTAAGGTGATCAATTCACTTGGACTAACAAACGTATGGGATCGACCTGTATCCGCGAAAGACTGGATAGAACTCTCTGCTCCCAAACCTGGATTGATCAATATCCAGAAACCCTTGTCAAACATTTTATAGACCAGGGATCTGATCATAGAGCCTTGCTCCTGTCCGATAAGCCGTATGTGCGAAATAGCCGACCCCTATTTTGATTTGATGCTCGCTGGGCAGACAATCCGGAGGTCAAGGCTATGGTGAGTTATGCTTGGCATGAGGAAATCCATGGAAATCCTAAGTTCAAACTTTGGGAGAGGCTGAAAAAACTTTGCCAACTTTTATATGATTGGAGTAGAGCGGGTATGACCAATTCTCTTTCGCAATATCAAGACGCTCCAATTTGAAATTGACAAGGTCAAATTAGTGCATCTGATTAACTAGGATGTGTTACGAATCTTGGAGACTGAATTGAGTCGACAATGGGATGCAGAGGAAATATATTGGCAACAAAAGTCTCGGGTTCGTTGGCTAAAAAAGGGCGACAAGAATTCGCCGTACTTTCATACAATTACGAGGGCTCGCAGAAAAAGGAACTTTGTGTCTAGATTGCGAAATGAAGCTAGAGAATGGATTACCGAGGAGAAAGGCAAGGCTGATATCGTCGTTGATATTTATCAAACCCTTTTCACCTCTAAGAATCACGTCCTTAACATGGAAGCCGGGATTGAGGACCTACCGATAGCACGCAAAGTAACAAATGAGATGAATGTGAATCTTACGGCAGAAGTCCTACCTACTGAAATTCGTCGAATCGTCTTCTCCATAGGCTCAAAGCAGGCTCCAAGATCTGATGGGTTCACAACCAAATTTTTCATGTCTTTTTGGGATATAATGGGTGACTCGGTCATAGAAGCAGTTCATTCTTTCTTTACTACGAGCTGGCTTCTCCAAAGTTTTAATCACCTGGTTGACACTAATCCCTAAAGTGGACCGTGTTGAGGACATGAGACAAATTAGACAGATAAGCTTATGCCAATTTGTGTATAAGATCATAACTAAGATCATGTCTAATAGGCTAGCCCAAATCCTTCTGCAAATCATCTCCGAAGGTCTGAACGCCTTCATTCGTGAACGGCAAATAGTGGAGAATGTCCTGCTTGGGCATGAGCTAATGCATTATTTGAAAATCAAAACCAAAATTAAGAAAGGGTACATATCCCTTAAGGTTGACATGGAAAAGGTCTATGACAGAGTCGAGTGGCCCTTTCTGCTTGCGATTTTGAACAAATTAGGTTTTAACTCTAGCTGGCAACGTTGGGTCCAAGAGTGTCTCCAATCAATGTCATTCGTAGTTTTGATGAATAGAACCCCCTTGGGGTTATTTACGCCCTCTAGAGACCTCCAGTAGGGGGACCCTCTATCCCCTCTCCTGTTTGTGATCTGCACGGAAGGGTTCGCGACTCTTCTCCAAAGGGCTATCTCGGCTGGTAGACTATAAGGGGTTAAAGTGGACCCGCACGCTCATCGAATTTCACATCTGTTCTTTGCAGATGAAACCTATTTACTCCTTAGAGGGACTCTCCAGGAAAGTGAGAACCTGATTGAGGTTCTAAATGAATACGAGGAACTCAGTGGTCAGAGAGTAAACTTGGCTAAATCGGCAGTATGCTTTAGCAAAAATATTCTCTGCGGACCAATAATTTCTTTCTCATATACTGGGGGTAAGGGCTATGGGGGTCTAGGATAAATACCTGGGATTGCCAACTTTGGTTGCCCAGTCCAAAATGACCACATTCCATTTTTTGGAGGCAAGCTATTGGATAGGCTTCATGGGTGGAAGTAGCGGACTCTGTCTTGGGCAGCAAAAGAGACATTGATCAAATCAGTCGCTTTGGCTCTTCCATTACAGGTTATGTCTTGCTTCAAACTCCCTCTTTCCCTGTGTCGTCTCTTAGACAGACGTATAGCCAGATTCTGGTGGGGCTTTGAAGGAGGCCAGTCCCGGGTACGGTGGGTGTCTTGGAGGAATATGTGCCGGAGTAAGCATGATGGGGGGATGAGATTTCGACGGTTTGAAAACTTTAACCAGGCTCTCTTGGCCAAGATTGGTTGGCGGATCCTTAATGAACCTGAATCTCTGCTTTCCCAAGTATACAAGGGAAAATACTTCCTTAAATGGACCTTCATAGAGGCTACTGCTCGATCTAGACCTTCGTGGCAATGGCAAAGTATCATGTTCGGCTGAGAGTTATTGAACAAGGGTTTGCAGTGGCAGGTTGGTAATGGAAGGCAAATTCTCCTGCTACAATCCAGTTGGATGCCGCAATTGCACCCGATGCCCCTGTTTACAATCATCAAGTGGTGCCGGAGGGTGCTATCCCAAAGGTGGAGGAGGTGATTTGTCCAGCTGAGGTTCAGTTGTGTGACACTAAACTTGGCCAATGGTTTGATCCAGTTACTGTGCGTTCTGTCAAAGCTATTCCTCTTCTGCGTCAGGATGTAGAGGATCGGTTGATATGGCATGACACGAGGGATGGGGTATTCATGGTCAAGTCTGCCTATCATCTGGCAATGTTATTGGATAAGAAGAAAGGGCGGTGGAAATCATTGGCTAGTTGGATGGATAGGTCAAGTTGGATTTGCCTGTGGGACTCGAATATTCCACCAAAATTAAAAGTGTTTATGTGGCAAATTTTCCACCGGATCCTTCCTATGACGGAAGCCCTTATTGAGAAAAAGGCCCAGGTGTTACCTAGGTGTTCGGTCCGTTGGGCAGAGTCGGAAACATTAGAGCATTTTTTTCTAGAGTGCCCTGTGGCTAGGGTTTTATGGGATCATTCGGGCTTGGATTAACTTGGTTAGGGTTTCCCTCGTCACACTTTTCCCCTCTTCCTTAAAAAGTTGTTGTTGGTGATACACCAACCACAATTGTTTATGGCCGTTGTTGCGATCCTCTAGAGGATCTGGCGCTCACAAAATTGAGTTGTGTTTGAAGGCAAACAATATGGGATCCCAACGTTAATGTGTCAATTTCACCAGCAGTACCAAAAATGGATCTCTTTGCCAGTTGACGTTACTCACTAGCATTTGGCCACCCTACGTGTGCACTCTTTGGGGAGTGAGTCCCCTGAATTCTGTTGTATGTATGTGGGATGGGGCAAACGGGCGTGGATCCCATTCGACTAGAGGAATGGTTATCGTAAGCCATGGAGGGAGGGTCCTCTTAGCTAAAGGTGTGCAGTTCCTGCATATTGATGACCCTATGATTGCTGAATTTTTAGCTCTTCGGGAGGCTATTCTCTAGTGTTTTGTGACTAGGTGTACTGAGACAAGGCTCGAAGGGGATGCCAAAGTGATCATTGATAAACTCAGTCAGGGAGACGCCCGTGATAGTCGGACAAGAGCCATTATGGAGGAGGTCATGCGTTATTTGGCAAATCACAATGGGTTTAATGTGGGTTTGCATGACGGAGTAATAATAAGGTACCCCACTTGGTGGCTAGAAAAGCCCTCTCTTTGTACCCGACTACATTTCGCTTGTTTGATTTTCTAGTCTAGTTAAATTCCAGGATCTAATGATCTCGTACTCTAATCAATATAATGATTATATTTTGTAAAAAAAGACACAATTCAATATAAATGTTAGAAGAGACGATAACTTAGAGCACTTCTACTATGCTATATAGTATTGGTCCTTTAATGTACAACTTGAAGTTGTACCATAACATTAAATGTATAAGTTTAGGTTGTACCATAAAGGAATGTGTATCATTATGTTATGGTACAACTTTACAACTTGAAGTTGTACCATCACATAAAAGTACAAGTCAAGATGTACCATAAAAGAATTTGTACAAAAAGTATAGGTACAATCTAAAGTTGTACCATAACGTTAAAGGTACAATTTCAGATTGTACCATAAAGGCAAAAACCTATAATATTGTAAAATTCTTCGATAACTTAAAAGGATCTATTTTCCAATTGCCAGACTCTGTATACGTTCATAGAATAAAAAAATTGAAACAGGAGCTGCAAACAGCAAAATGTGTTCCTTTTGTTTTTTGGGATAGATTTGCCGAGGGTTTAAATATTAGGAATCAGTTACTTTGCAGTTATCATTTATTCATCTGTGCTGCATTCTTGGTGTGGTAAGTTATCATTACTTTGCAGTTATCATTACTTTGTATCTTGTTTATGCTATGGTTTGCTAGTTTTGATTTGCAAACTTGGTGTGGTAAGTTGACTCTAATGACTTGAGAGAGAGATCATCCATCAGCATAAATATTAATCATTAGTCAAAAAAATTTCATTCTTTTTTATTTGTCCAACTTATTAAATTACTAATAATTAGTCAAACGTTAACTTCCAACTAGCAATTTTGTTAGTAATATTAACTTAATTTTTCCTTGGAAGAGATACATGAATACCAACATTCTAAAACTTTAGTATTTTAATTATAAAAAATGTTACAAAATTAAAAATGATAACATAAAAATGGCTAATATTTTGATACATTACAAAAGATTTGACAAATCATTAGTAAATGAAATATTTTGGATAATCATTAGTAAATCAATAGTTTTGGATAATGAAAAAGAATATGAAGAACGTAAATAGGTGTCAAAACAGAACTCGACCCGATTAATCCGCCCGATTAACAACAACCTATAACTAGGGGTGGAAATCGGTACGGTATCGGTATCCCAATACCGAATACCGAAATCCCGAATACTGAATTACCCCCTAAAATTAATCCCAATCCCTAAATTATTTCGGTATCCCAATCCCAATCCCTAAATATTTCGGTATCCCAATCGGTATCTCGATATCCCAATCGGTATTATCGAATACAAAATTAATTATCTTTGCAATTAACAATTAAATATAAATTCGATTTGATTGTTCAATTTATGGCAAAAAAACTAAGCAAAGAGTCTTGAGTTTTTCTAGAGCTAGGACATGAATAGGGAGATGGGAGGAGAGGTGACAACTCAAGTTCTTGTCATTGGGAATCTTTAATTCGACGAATTGGAGGTTGAGAGACGACTAATACTAGGGTTTTCATTTTGATGTTATGAAAATAACAAGAGATTAGATGAGAGACGAGAGTGACTTAAATTGGAAAGACAAAATTGAGTTGGATGGGGACTTGTGAGTTATGAAAGAGTGGGGAATGATCAAAATTTGTGTGCTATATTTCATTAATTTTTATTTTTTTATTGTTTCTCCGTATTTCGGTATATTTCGGTATATACCGATCTCAATCCCGTAATTCCGAATACCGAATAGCACTCCAAAATGAATCCCAATCCCGATCCCTATAAATCGGTATTCGGGAATACAAATAGTGATAAGTTCGGTACGGTATTCGGTATATCCCAAATACCGGTACCAAACTTCCAGCCCTACCTATAACGCGCCCGACCCGCAACCCGACTAACCCGCAACCCGATTAACCCGAACCCAATTGACCCGAACTCGATTAAACCCGAATCCGATTAACCCAAACCCGATTGATCCAAACCCGACCAACTCAACCCGAACTTCACATAATCCACTTGAATAATTATTATATTATACAATGCATAGTTTTTCAAAATAAAATTTTTCATTCTAAACTTAGGTAAAATTATTTTTCATTTCGTATAGGGAATTTTAAAAAAAATGAAACTCACGTGATATTATGTATTTTAAGAAAATTACAAAAATTTAAACATAAACATCACTTGAACACTAAGTTCTTTAACAAAATTAAAAAAGTAAATATCAAATCAACACAATGTCAATATTAATAATGAGATTATGGACAATATTAATATAATATATAAATTAAAATTTTGGTTAATTTAAATATTCAATAAAATTATCAATTACATATAAATAAAGTAAATTAATGTATTTGTTAATTTGATACTTTTAAAAGAAAAGGGAAATTTTGGTATATTCAACTTTTTGGGAAGAGAAAGAAGAGGGAAATTTGGTTTTTTGATTTTTTGAGAAAGAAAAAGGGGGGACTTTGGTAGTTTTGATTTGTGGGAAGAAAAAAAAGTGGGAAAGTTTGGTTCTTTTGATTATAAAAGATAAATAAGGAAGGAAATTTTGAGTTTTCAACTTTTTGTGTAAGGAAGGAAGAAAGAGAGAAATTTGATTCTTCAATTTTATGGAAGAGAAAGGGAGGGAGATTTGGTTCTTTCAATTTTATAGAAGTAAAAGAAGAGGAAAAATTGAGTGTTTCTAATTTATGGAAGGAGAAAGGAGAGAAATTTTTGTATTTTTTTTTAAATAAAAAAGAAAACAAATTTGGTGTTTTCAACTTTTTGGGTTTTCAAAATTTTAATCTTTGAAATATGAATCTTTAATATTTTTATGGAGGGCATGACTAGTTAAATTTATTCTTATATGCTTTCAAGGTACCCTGGGTGAAATCCGGGGTATCGCATACCTTGAGTATGAAAACGCTATATAAACCTCGAATTAGCAGGATTTTTGGGCATGATACTATACCCTAACCCTTAATGAGTGAACCCTAAGTACTAATTATCTAAATCATAAACTATAAACCTTAAGATGGTGCATTGATTTTTTTGTCTATATTTGGATGAATCATAACCGTTGATTATTGTTTCTAATTAAATTGATCTTGGGGTATATATTTAGAGAATTCAGACCTAGATTTTGATCTTTAAGGGTTAAAGTATAGTATAATGTCTGAAAGATCAGTCAATTCAAGTTCTGGAAAGCATTTTCTTACTTAAGGTATGCGGTACCCCAGATTTCACCCTCGGTACTATAGAACTCCCACACACACACACACACACACACACATATATATATATATATATATATATATATATATTTGTTTATGGGCTAATAACTAAATTAACCATTAGTTACAACAATCATTTGTTTTACATATCACTTAATTTGTCTACTTGTTTTCTATACTTCTACATTTATTTCAACTTCAACACTACATGATCGTTATTTTACAACACTTAGTAAAATTTTGACACATTTAATTTGTGTTCGTGTTGAACTTTTATTACAAAATGGGGGTTACACTTAGCATGTTAAGTCATACGATTGCAATAACTCAGTCATACGATTGTTAAGGTACATATATGGTTTAGAGTGTATATGGTTAGGGTATAAGGTATTAATGATTTTTACGGTTCTAAGTTTTTTTATTAACATATGTTCACTTGAAGTCATTTGAAGTCTTTAACAGCAGGAGATCCCTTTTTAATTTATGTTTATGGTACGTGGTTAGGGTACAGGGTATATAGTGTAGAGTATAGGATATATGGTTAGGGTATAGCAATTAGCAAATATCACTTTTTCATCTATGTTTTGAACATCAAAATATGAATTTCACATTTAAATTAACCATACTAGCAAAATCACAACTCACAAGGATATATGGTTAGGGTTTGGGTATGTGGTTAGTGTATAATGTATTGATGGTTTAAAGTATACGATCAACAACATACACTAACTTAATATTGTCGATTGAGTGTAAGGCTAAGTGTATAGGATATATGTTATTGAGTAAGTTATGATTGAAGTCACAACAATTTTACTAAATTTGATAGTTAATCTAATGGTTCAATTTTTAGGATAATTCGAACAATTTACAAATAACTTATTTGACAACAGTTTACTGAAGTTATTTGGGCAATGAGCTATTTCGAAATAACTCTTTTTATCACTCTGCTTTTGCCAAATACCATATTTGCATGGTTATACTAAACGAGATACTTTAATCCAATTACTACTGAAATAATGCTAAAATAAAAAATAAACAATTAATGGTGTCTTTTGGTTGCGAATGTTGATATCACCATTATTATTAGCTATTGTACTTTACCAATTACGATTAATTATATAACAAGTTTGCAAGTCATACAAATTGATTCAACATTTTGACTAGTTTTTTTTTAATTAAGTATATATATATACGAGGTAGAAAGAAATTAGTTAAAAAGTTGAGAAAAATATTTTAAATTAGTGTAATAAAATGTGTAAGTTGGTAACAAGTAATAAGTAAGTTACTCGAAGCGCTGATCTGAACAACCCGCAACCCGCCCGACCCAAAACCCGATGAACACACAAGCCGATTGAACCCGAACACAATGAACCCGCAATCCGACTAACGTGCAACCCGTTTGAATCCGAACCCGATGAACTCACAACCTATTTGAACCCGAACCCGATTTAATCCAGCCCGAACCCGCCAGATTTACACCTATAAGAACGTTAGTGTTTATCACTTTATCCTAAATTTCACATCCAATCATGGGTTGTTTTTCAATAATTTTGTTTTGCAGGTCTTTAAATAAGTGAACGGCTATTTGCCGCCAACCAAATTGCTATTTGCCGCCAACCAAAAAAAAAAATTTGAATTCAAATTTTGAATTTTCCCTCCCTTCCCTTCCTTTCATTCTATAAATTCGGATACCCATGAACATTTGACTCATTCCAACAAAAACTTCTGTTGACGAGCCCAGTGCCTCCGTCGCCGGCACCGTTCTTCCGTCGTCGGCTAACCTCCCGTCGCCCTCAATCATCGGAAAACAAGTAAGTTTATTTTTTCCGGCCAGTTTTCCAGTTTTCCGGCAAGTTTTCCAGTTTCCCGGCAAGTTTTCCAGTTTTCTGGCGAAAAACAGGGCGGGCCGAAAAAAACTGCGGCCTAAACGCCGCCGAGCCGAAAAAAAATTTCGGCCGGTGCGACGGCCGGCCGAAAAATTCTTTCGGCCCGGCGACGCCGCGGCCGCAAATTTTTTTCGGCCGGTCGCCGACCTCGCCGCCCAAAAAATTTCCGGCGGCGTGTTCGTCGGTCGGCCGAAAAAAATTTGCGGCCGTGGCGTCGCCGGGCCGAAAATTTCTTTCGGCCGTCCGTCGCACCGGCCGAAAAAGTTTTTCGGCCCGACGACGCACCGGCCGCAAACTTTTTTCGGCCGGCCGACGCACCGGCCGCAAACTGTTTTCGGCCCGGCGGCGCACCGGCCGCAAAATTCTTTCGGCCCGGCCAGTTTTTGTATTTAATTTAATTTAATACGATAATTAATTAATAAATAAATACTTAATTAGTTAGTAGAAATTAGCAATTAGTGTTAATATTTATTTAAGTTGGTGTATAAATGTTTTTTTTTGTAATAGGCGTTTGAATGTTTAATTACTTAGATTAGTTAATGGAATTTTAATTAATTACTAATTGATTTAACAAATAATGTTAATATTCAGTACATTAGTTAATAGAAAATTAATTAATTTGTGATTAATTAACAATTAATTTTAATAGTATATTAGTTAATAGAAATTTAATTAATTTGTGATTAATTAACAATTAATGTTAATATTACATTAGTTAATAGAAATTTAATTAATTTGTGATTAATTAACAATTGATGTTAATATTACATTAGTTAATAGAAAATTAATTAATTAGTGCGCATCTAAGTATGATATTTTGTAAATTTGTAGATAATTAGATATGGATGATGCGGGTGGGGATGAGTTGTATAGATTCAATGGTAGGATTGTTGATGCATCAGCACGAAGGAAGAATAAGGAGAATAAACGCTCTCGAGATATTGGACATCAGTCACAGGCAAATTTAGGGGAGGATGAGTTAGAGGCTCCTACTGTAGTTGCTCGTTCGGCATCACGGGCGTCTGGTTCCCATAGGAGGAACCAGGGTGCTGCATCCAGAGTGGTCTCGGATGAGTTTGATGAGGACGATAGTGATGAGGATATCGAGGTCCCTCCACCTACGCGTGGACATGGACGAGTGCCGTCTCGTACGGCAACATCACGTCCTGCTATGTTTAGGGACCGAGCTGGGCGATTCGTACCACCTGCTCGTCAGGAGACAGAGAGCTCGGGGACTGGACGGAGTAGGGGAGGACGTTCGAGTGGTCCTCCACCGTGGGAGCTTGTTGGTGAGTGTCCTGGTGGACCTACGGATCCTAGCCTCATTAGGAGCTTTCGTGGCCACGTTGCCTATGCGCTTTGGACGGGGGCTGGAGATCGAGGGGTCATCAGTTGCTACAGCCGTACATCGGCGGTTGCTTATTTGAGTAGCTACGTGTTTAGTCATGTTGAGGCGGAGAATCTGGTTCAGCAGTCAGGTCTCCAGCACCTGATGTACTCTATGTTTCGCAAGATAGCGATTGACGATGCTTTGATCTCAGCTTTTGTGGAGAGGTGGCAGCCAGACACGAACACCTTCCACTTGCCTTTTGGAGAGATGACGATCCTCCTCCACGATGTTCAGTACTTACTGCAGATTCCTGTTGAGGGGCGACTGATGAGTAGGAGTTCTGCGCAGCTTGACCATCCGGAGGCGGGTTTGTGTGCGCTTCTTGGGATGAACTCGGAGCAGTTGAGTGGTCGTTCGGAGGTCCCTGGATATAATAATAGGGGTAAGTGGTACGAGAAGGGTGGTTTTCTTGCAGAGATGGCGTCCAGATACTTCCAGATACTTGGTCTCACCCCCGCCTTCCTCATTAATCTTAACCTCTCTTTTTCAGCCTCACTAAACTGTTTGTTGTGTCGGTGATGTTTTGGATGCAACACCTTTTCATGGTTGTGAAACCCTCTATTAGCTCCGGTTTCACGACTTGTCACTCCCACCATGACCCATGTATTTGGACCATCCTTTTGCCATACTTCCTTTATACATATCTGAAACTGGCAACCAGTACCCTTAGAACTAATATTCCCACGCGTCTCCTTCGTAGGGTCTGGTTTATAAGACTTAACGATCCTACTACTTCTATCGCAATACATACAGAGGGGAGTAACAGGATTCTGTCCAGCAGTATTCGGTTTCCATGCTCCTCTAACAATAAAGAACTCACACTGCTGAGGGATTGTTCTTGCAGCTAACTCAGCTAACTCCACACTTGCATAATGGATCCCATTCTCAAATTCCTGTGTGTAATCATGATCGGCCGGTAACAACTCTGACATTTTTCCTACAATTACAATATAATATATCAATATTCCTGTGAACCTAAACGCTAATTTCAATTCTTAACCGCTAAATTCAACTCCTAAACTCTAAATTCAATTCTTACACGCTATATTCAACTCCTAAACTCTAAATTCAACTCCTAAACTCTAAATTCAACTCCTAAAATCGAATTTTTCCGAAAAATTGCAAAAACAGACTGTGGGCCGAAAATTTCCGGTGGCCGGAACCTGGCCGGGCCGAAAATTTCCGGTGGCTGGAACCTGGCCGGGCCGAAAATATCTTGCGGCTCAGCCTGGTTCCGGCCGCCGGGATTTTTCGGCCCGGCCAGGTTCCGGCCACCGGAAATTTTCGGCCCGGCCAGGTTCCGGCCGCCAAAAATTTTCGGCCCACCGTCTGTTCGTTTCAAATCGTCGGAAAAATTGTTCGAAACTACAAAAAAATTACGCACCTGCTTAGTGATGATTCATTGATGCGTGTACGCAGTATATGTCAAGGATAGGCTTTCCCGATGATTTTCCGGCGACTTTTCCGGCGAGCGTTGAATTTTTTTGATTCAATATGTTCTCTGAAAGTTGGATATGTTGTAGATTGTGAAACTCCTTACCCTAATATGTATATATATACTCTTTTTTTTTTTTTTTTGTTGGCGGCAAATAGCAATTTGGTTGGCGGCAAATAGCAAGCCCCTTAAATAAACTACTCTTCTTCCACCCTTATTATTTCTTCTTTACGTCTTGTACTCCCTTCACATTCAAACACGCAACTCACTCACTTTGCTTCTGCTGTCATCTTTTCCTTATGGTCTCGCGTCCTAAACCTCAGGATTCATCAACACACACACACGTGTGAACCACTTACTCAAAATATGACTTTCCCTCTCTCATTTATCCTTGGTGAGATTTACAGTCACAGAGAGGTTCTGTTCTTGTACGTCACAAGTGTCCCTGTACATACATGCAGAAAATACAAACAACATAAGCACCACCAGCCTCAGTACAAAGGACTAACCACGCTTCACCTCACTTCACTTCTACTTCTTTTTCTTGTCATCCTTCTCTCTGTCAAGTACCACCGGAGCCGCCGGTATGCTGAACCACCATTCCCTCATTCTCCTCGCACATCTCTCCGAGCTTTCTTTTCTTGCCGGCGAGTACCTTGTGGACACCTCAAGGAAGCCCAACAGAACTACGTACTTCAATGGCAAGATGGCCAGCACTAACCCCATGCCCAGCAGCACTGCCGCAAATTTATCGCTCGCTTGTGGGAACACGGAAAGTAGTAAAGCCCGGACTTTGAGTAGGCCAATGTTGCCATCCTGGATCAGCTGCTCCACCTGAGAAATCGCATTCTGGACAGCGAGAAGCTGCTCCATTGTGTTCATAGGTGGTGGTGCTACTACCTTCAGCTCATCGACAGGCTGGCCTTGGTTGAAAAACCGAGTAAGCAACATGAATACAGCCAGTGAAGCGAGCATCAATCCGAAAGCATACCCCAACCAGTCCCTGAAACAGGAGAACTCTGTTAGTCGAACAGCTCCTTCTCCACTCTATTCCATCGCTAAACAACTTTCATATTGCCTTAATAATCAACGAGGAGCTCAAATTTGAGAATCGACACACATACACGAGGCAGAAACATTTTAAGACAAAATGATGAATGCTTTTAGAGTACTACCACTAATAAATGTACATTTAGTGGATTTGACACAGGAAAAACTATAACAAAGCTAAGTAAAGCGAGAAACTTCTAGGAACACAGGAGAAAATATAGAGGATTTGAGGAGGCCAACAAGCAGACAGTTTTCACAACTTGACTTGATGACTGAGAAGCAAATGACTCAAGCAGATCCTTTTAGTTACCGACAAGAATACGGCTGCTTAATCTCTACTGTGATGGCTAAAGGAATCCTAGCAAAGAAAAAATTACGGAACTTCTAGCAAACTCGGATATCAGATAACAGAAGATTTTGCAACCAGTTCACTTGTAACTTTCTGCTCAACTCAGTTCTTAATTGTTGTGGCAGTTGGCAAATACTGCTGCTGAATGTACTAACCTTCATTTACATATCATTCTTAAAAGAGGATGGGGCAAATGCACATCAAAATGAAACATGCGAGCCAAACAAAAAATACTTCATTCTGCTTAACTACCCTAAACCACATTACACTTCTATTAGCCCTCAGCATATCCCAGTACCGCCATGGCATATCTAATCATCTAGGGAGTGCACCACCCAGCCATCTAAAAAGTAATATACTGATGGCGAAAGTATTTAGTTTTGCAACAGCATATGCCGTCATTGTAGGAGTAAAGAACAATGTCAAAAGAATGAGAGCTTACCGCCAGATGATATAAGTAAAAAACAAGCAGAACAAGAACGACTTCTTGGGGGAATCCCAATACAACAAGGAAAGAAGCCATTTCCCAACTTCCATAACTGGGAGCAGAATGTCCTGCAAACATATGATCATAAGTCCTTTAATGACGTGTATGCTAGAAAAAAAAATACCACGTGACATTGTTTAATAACTTGGATATGTACTACAAAAAAAAAAAAAATTGGATATGAAGCTTGAAGACGTGTATGATAGAAAAAAAAAATGCCACATGACATTATTTAATAACTTGGATATGCACTATAAAAGAAAAATTGGATATGCAGTTTTATGGAAACCCCTAGGAACAAAAATTAGTATAAATATTACTTCAAAGATGCCAGATTTAACCACTTTAGCAGGGGAATCAGTATCACTACTCCAGATGATAAAATTACAGCTGGCCTCACCTTCATCACGGCCAGATTAGTGTCGAGGCCATCAACTTTAACCCCATCCACTGTTGCTTGAGCTACAACCACTTTTTTGTAGCTGTCCTTTGATTCCCTGACTGACTTTTCCAAACAGCTCATCTCACCAACAGCTACCTCACCAACAACAAGTGCGGTCACATTAGGATCACACGAAGTGGTACCAAAAACAAATCCTAAACCAGAAACCATTGCCAACGACGAGGCCGAGTACATTCCGCCTCCATGCTTATCCTGGTTAGCTCGCTCTACAGAGGACATATTTGCCAGAGTTTTTAATATTAGATCCCCACCAGGGAGTTGTTCACACAGATTAAACATGAGAATATCGTCATGGCGGACCAAATCTACAGAACTAAGTTCTTGAATTGCTTGCAATCGCAAGACTCCAAGTACAGCCTTTGAAAGTGCCTCGTCCCGTGTAACTCCTGAGATCTGAAATTTTTTTATAAATTTGTGGACAAGCAAAATTTCACGAATAATTGCAAGCCAATAGTCACGCCGAGTATGTCCTTTGAGCTCAGGGAACTCTATAATAGCAGGTTCTGATCTACAAGCAAAACCAGTTCAAAAGTCACGCTACTGTAGTACCTGAATTGCAGAATAAGGACACCTGAAAAATTTACAATCCACAAATGTTCAACATAAATCAAGTAGGCAAAGCATGACTTACAATGAATTAGAACTATAGAAAACTGCTTTGTCAAAGAGCCGAGTACCCCATGGTCCAGTTAATTCAGGTTTAACAACTTGCTTCAAATCTTCTGAAAGGTCATACACTTTTGGTGTGTCATAGGATACAACACGAAGAGCTTCAAAGTACAAGGCATGATCTGTAAGAGTTAAACGACCTGCATGCAAATGTAAACAAAGACGACAAATTACCATGTACTCCTCTGTGTTTCCTTTTAGGCTTTTATAAAAGTACAACCTATCATAAGTCACTATAGAGAGGATTTTGTCAGGTTCCAAACTTACCAGGCCAAGTAGATATGCCAACATGCTCAAGGACTGGTTGGGTGGTTACTGTTCCATCTACTTCTAGAATCCTCTCTCTTTTTGCAGGTCGAACATCAGCAAGAAGTGATGACTCCGATTGCGATTTCATTCTCTTTACTGCTCTGTTAGGAAGAATGATTCAAAGAATAAATATTGAGTTTCCATGAAGAGCAACATCAGAGAATCAGTAGAAGCAAGCAGCCATCAGGCTACAGCCAATCCCTTTATTACACAAGGAGGGAAGCGCTTTGGTTTCAGGTCCTCCAAGCCACCTCAGGGAGAGCAGTAACTTAAATCAGTTCAATCAAGTGAAAATAAGAACAGAAACTAAAAAGTAACAGAATCAATATCAAAACAATACTTGGAGATTTAGAATATAGGTACCTTTCTAATCCACTTAGGTATTTGTCAAAGATCGAAAACTGAAGCCGACCATCAGTTGACACAGTCAGCACTTGAAAGAGATTTTCACTTATAACAACATTAGCAATGAGCGGAACTGCTGGTGCTATTCGGGAAAAGGAGTCAAGCCCAACTGTCAGGTCTTCATCTCCCTAAGAGACAAATAGCAACTGAAACTTAGATCAACAGTAAGGCGACAGAGTACTAAGGGCACTGTAAAGTAAAATTTTAGGAGAATATTTTATTCAAAACTATAATGGGCATAAAGTCTGGGAGGGAGAGGAGAAGAGAGATGAGACAGAACATGATGGCAAAGATCACATGTCAAAATGTTTTGCATTCATATTAAGGCTTACTAGAATAAGGACTGCAGTACAGTGCTACTACTTGCTCATGTGAAGAAAATATATTTATCACTGTTTAATTAGAGCATCAAAAGCAAGTCACAATCAGCACCATGGTAAGAGCTGAGAGGAGTCTGCTTCAGGACTTTTGGACAATATAATGCCTGCTACTAGTATTTTGTACATGTGCAGCGTCCAAGAGAGAATTATTTGATTAGAGTGAAATATGCCCTAAGGTCCTGTCTGCTTTGAGTCTCCTACCGGCCATCAGCTCATTTTTACCATATTTTACCCATCAAATTGTAGGAAACATGTGCCTTTCTGCTAGTTCAGAACCTACATTAACTTAAGTCATGATAGTTTAATGAATGAAACCAAGATAGGATTATTTGTGCATATGTTTTGATGTCAGGATGTACGAAAAATGTAGAACGGCCTGAAGCCAAATTTTCTTCTTTCTGAAGGACCTAAAGTAAATTAGAGTTACTACTCCATACACTTTCAGTGATCCCGAGGAAACCGCTTTCTATTTTGAGGTGTCCGTGGATCCAACACTACCCCTACACTAACCGAGGAAGAAGGGAATTCAGGTGAAACAAAAGAAGTGAGAGAAATACATTGCTACAAATATAGAGGTGGAAGATAAGGATCTCAAACTTCCGCTAGAGTAGCAAATAGTTCAAAGTATAAATTTTCAACTGCATGCTTGTGCTGGATTTTGTTTCCAAGTTGTTCGGAGCCCGACAGTTGAAATGCTACCATCTACCTTCCTTTTCATTGTCATTGAATGCTTTGTTTATTGTGGCCTACCTTGAACGTTACGGTCAAGAACTACCTCAAGGAACTAAAGCTTCACATCAGAACTCAAGATCCCACAGTAACGCTTCTGACTGAATGTAAGAACTAGACCTATTGTGTGTTTCAGAATGCTCACTTGAATCTAACAGATGCCTATGCTAACATGCTGTACATGAATTGACGAAGTTTCCAAAAGTGCACTCACGGCATGTTAAAAGATAAGCACTCTTAAGTACACATCAAGTATTGAAGCTTACATTAGTCAGGGGTTGACTGGAAGCCGATGGAGCCTCCCAAGCTAACATCATATCATATACCAACCGCCGGAACTTCTTATCTCCCAGGTGACCTGTTACCTGGATGGACACAGCCAGTGTCCTGAAACAACAGTATTCCAGGAAGTTCCTGACATAACAAGATGGGTGCTTTATGGAATCAGGAGCTTCTGCATTGAAACTTTCTTGGAGGCCGGTTGGTGAAGTGTCAAGGATTCTGCAGCATCCTTTGTCAATCAGGAGACAAAAATACAAGTAGAGAGCACAGCTTCATGTTTCCCACTAACAGCTAGATCATCAACAACTAAAGTTTAAAAGCAAAGGGGCATTTGTACTCGGTAATAGATTGGAGAACTCCATCGCTAAGAGGAGAACATAGAGGGAAAGAGAAGTTCCGCACTTACTTGGAACATCTACGAACGACCACATTAGCAAGTGGAGATAGCTCTGGGATCCAGTTACTCTTAGCAGAAGGTGACCTTCCCATTTCCTCAAATTCTTCATCAAAGTAAGTCCGCTTCCCAAGTAACCATTTAAAAGATCCATCTTTTACAAAACCTTCAAGCATATTTCTAGTCTTGCTTGCTGCAGCCATATCCAATTAACTAATAGATGGAGCGGAAGACCGAGGTTACCCTGTAACTAATCACTCGTTACACCTGACGTGACTTGCATTGCAGATTATACATGGTGAATCTTCACATATCAAAAGAACGGAGTATTCCTGCAGAGAAGAAGTGTCGTCTAAACCATCAATCAACAGAAAGTAAAGTTACTTCACCTCAAGATATTCACAAACCCCCTAAGATATGCTATAAGCATCTCAACTTGACATGGACAACCCCAGTTGTATAACTACGACCTCGATATTTATTGCCTGAAAACGAAGCAGAAACACCAAACGTTCAAGCAAGACAACCTGAAAATAGACCTGCAGAATCTGATTCATGATGCTCCACATTAACTTGACATCTAATTCTTGATTCAGTTCAATAACAAAACTGAGAGAAACATTGAACAAGAAAAGACTCAGGGGCTCGCGTTTGTAGATATGACCAGAATGGAAAAAAGCAGCAAGCAAATAAATTCACATCAAACGGTATAGCACCAATTCGAAGAATTATAACCTTGACAACAGTCTCAGGAAGCAGAATCGAGTTAAGCTTTCAACAAGTTGAAAGTTTAATTTTTCACAGAATTGTTCTTGAATCGTGCCCTATGCAAGAATCAAGTAGTAATATGACATTTGATACAATCAACATTTATTTCCAGCAGCCATGATAGGAGGTACTCAACCATCCATCGCATCACACTGTAGCAAATACGGTTGGTGAAGTAGAATTCCGCAATCAAAGTACCATTTCGAACCAACCCAGTTTCATACGGTTGATTCGTGAGAAGCATTTCAACTTACAATGATAATAACATGAGATTACATTTCGTTCAAGAAACTAGAATCAGCCACGGATTCAAGTTCGTCGAAGAAGAAACCGGGAAGGATGCGGAAGAAAGGAGAATCCAGTAATACCTTCTTTTCCACCGAATCCGGAAGAGCAGGGCAATCTTTCAAGAAATACAGCTGAGATTGAGTTGTGGATGACTGAAGATGATGGAGAGAGACAAAGGCAGGGAAATAATGAGCTCTAAAAGAAGCAGAGAAGAGGCAATTTCATACGTCGAATCGCATTGATTCTGTCGTGAATTGAGGGGTTTATCGGAAAAGGAGAGAATGGTTCGTGAAACAGAGTTCACATTCGATGTGTGTGTGAGAGAGAATGAAAGATCGGTTGGGGTCTTTCTGCTTTTTTTATTGTTTCTTCTGCTGTGGCATGGTGGTGGTAAATCAACATTTGATTATTTCTTTTTCCATATAAAAGAAACTAAACCGCCTTCGTCATTGTGCAATTTTGCCTCATCTTAATTATTAGAGTCCGGAATTTTGGCATCTCTAGATCATGGTAAAGGAAACCGTATCGGACATCATATCGGATTCCTTTTTGGTATGATATTTTGTGGTACGACCGTGGTTCAATCGTTTTGTACCGGTAAATACTGTTTTTCACTATTGATAGAGAAATGAAATGCGATAGTATAAAAAATATAATCCATCAAAAAAAAAACCAAATAGAGCATTATACAACCACGGTGACCCATTTTCAACATAGAAAAATAGCAAAATAATATTCTTTTTTAATTATTTTCCACATATTGGACGAGAATACGGAGAAATGAAGCTGAATCATAGACCACGAAACCGGATCGTACCGGCCGGTTCAACCGGTCAAACAGAAAAAACCGGCCGGCACGGTAAAATCAGCACAATCAGCCCACCGTACCGCTTTTGGTCCAATTTCCGATTGAACCGGTTGAACCGGCTGTTACGATCCGGTTTCCTGGTCTATGCTCTAGAGATAGGGTTGGTAAATTGTTATTCTATTGGTGCAATCGACAATCGAACCGGAACCGATACTAAACGCTTACATCGTAATTGATTAAATAATAGAGATTGGTTTCTGATAGCAAAATTTAGATAATTACTAACTTACGGTTAAATGGTTAGTAGGGGTGTTCAAACAGAGTGGTTACCATGATAACCGTTTTAACCGATAGTATTTGGTTAAGTTGGTTTAATTAATTTGTATTATTGGTTTGGTTTGGTTAAATTTTTGGCAAAATACAAGTTCATAGCTACAAGTTTCACGTTTGTGACAGATATATCCACAATTTTAGAAATACATGAAATAGCCAAAATTTTGATAATTGTTTGACAAATCTAGTCATTTCCGTTACAAACTTTAATGGTGTTGACACACCGTCAGCGACCCTCTCCTCAATTTCTTCTCAGGGCTCTGGTTGAGAGAGAATGCAATGAATCGGGCCAATTGACTGTGACGAATCAAGCTTCACCTTAAACAAGAACAACTGCAGTCACGGCGATTTCAAGGAATTGGAGGGACAAATGCACTGTGAGCATCCACATCCTTCCTTCCTGACCCATCGGTCTGTGTAGCCACTAGGGACGTCCTCTCCTCTTTCTATGCAGCCATTGATGCCTTCTTCTTCATGGTCGTCGTCGAGCTTCTTCCCAACAGCCTTTTCCCCTCTTTCTCGTCGTTTTTCTTTGACTCCGTCAAACTTCCGAGGCCTTCTTCTTCAATCTAGCTATTGGGGATATGATTTGGGAATTTGGGAAATAAGGCCCATTCTCCAATCATACTATTAAGTGACACCGTTAAAAGGATGAATGAAAGTGGCTATTTTGTGTATTTTGAAAGTTGTGGCTATAACTGTCACAAATGTGAAAGTTATGGCTATGGAAGTGTATTTTGCTTTTGACATCGTTAAAGGGATGTACGGAATTGACTATTTTCTATTTTTTCGAAAATTGTGGCTATAATTGTCATAAACGTGAAATTTATGGCTATGAAAAATGTATTTGCCTAAATTTTTTAGCTTGTTTGGTTTAGGTGGTTTGGTTTCACACACTCCTAACCAATGAAATCAAATTAACCAATTAAGTAATTAGTCATATATGTAATTATTTTATACACATACTTAATACTTTGCTAACCACTCAAGAGATAATTGTATTAGTACCATGTGTTTATGTTCAGGGTTAATTATCACTATGCATTGATTGATATGTTTTATTCAATATATAAATTATGAATTAATGCATTAACCGAAAATATTTCTTATTTTATTCCATTTGAACACCCCAAACGGTTAGTAACCATCGATTAATAGAATTTAGTCTTATTTAGTTTGGTAATTATTATGGTAACCATTTGAACACCCCCAATGGTTAGTAACCGACGGTTAAACAGTTAACCAACTAACTGATTACAGTCATCCTCATAGTTAGGGCTGAAAATAATAGGCCTCCATGATTCACATGCATGGACCAAAAATAATGGGATGTTTGAAAGCTAGAAGATCTCTTGCCTCCCCTAATTATAATAGTGACTTAAGTTCAAATGAGAATAATTTTAAGAAAAAGTTTTAAAAGGAGCACAGTAGAAAGTTGGACTTGCGCACAATAGTTTGACAAAATTCTATCACATTTAAGCTTCGATATTATTTGGTGGGTTTATAAGTTGATTAATTTTTGTTTGGTCTCTTATTCTTTTCTGCTTCTCTAATCAAATTTGATGGTGGAATGGTGTTATTAGGGCTAAATTTCAGTCGGTTTCGGTTTAACCGATAACTGAAATCTTGGTTTTCGGTTATCCGAACAAACCTTTTCAGGCTGCTGACCACCGACCAACAACATGCTTTGGTTAACCGGAGCACAGACCGGTCAGTTAATGGTTAAAACCTCGGTTAATCAACTATCCGGAATTATTTATTATAATAATAATTATTAATTACATGAAAAACTAAAAAGGAGATAGGGAGTTGAAAATCCGTCGACGACTCTTCATCTCTTATCATCTCCTCCGACCTATCCTCCCGCCGCACCCACCAATCCTGCCACCGCTACCAATCCTCCCGCTGCACCCACCAATCCAGCCGACACTACCAAGAAGTCGAAGAAGGAGGAACGAAAATGGCGGTGACTCGCGAAGAGGAAGGACGTCGACCACTCTTCATCTCTCCTCATCTCCTCCGGCATATCCTCACGCCGCACCCACCAATCCCGCCAGTTGTTACCAATCCTCCTCCAACACCCACCAATCCCTAGATCCAGAATCGCGAAACCAGAATCGCTAGATCCCTAGATCACGAAACCAGACTCGCGAAGAAGAAGGATGGGGCGCGCTTCTATCGTCGCCGCGCTGCTCGGTGGGTGGCGCTCAACTTCTCCGCCGTCCCTACATGGCTACATCTTCAGATCAAAGAGACCATCTGGCTTCTTACCTCCAGCAATCGTCGCCGAAGTAGTCTGGAAGAAGAGATGGGGTCCTGAGTTCTCTGAATTTATGGGTTGTTCTTGGGGGTGTGGAATTGGGAGTAGGAGCAAGGAGTTCTATGTTTTTGTTCTTGATGGGGCGGGTTGGAAGGAGACGGAGTAAGGAAGAGAGAGAGAGAGAGTGGGAGATACAAGAGAGGAGGACTGAGGGTTTGATTTTTTGGGGAGAGTTGGATATAGATTTTGGGGTTTGGTCAGTAGAGGTCGGTTAATCGTCCTTGGTTTCTCGGTCAACCGACGCCTCCCTTCTGCATGCATGACCACCGAACAACACAAATGGCAATTCGATTTTCGGTTAGTTGGTAACTGATCAATTTCGGTCATAATCGGCGGTTACCTACTAATTAGAAACCGAATGGTCATTCCTAGGTGTTATTGGAACTTAATTTTGTTGGATTGAGGTCATTATGGATATATATATATATGTGTGTGTGCGCGCGCGCGAGCGCGCTCTTGTGTGTGTGTTAAATGATTTTTTATTCAAAGATAACAACTTAAATAATACATACGTATGTAGGAAAAATTCTACATAAAATACACAATTGAAAACGGATGAGGTCTTATGTTAGTTAGGTTAGAAATCAGTTATTTTGGTATAAGTGAGAGAAACCTTCTTCTTCTTGAAACCCTCGAGAGAGAAAGCCACGAACAAAGAGGGAGAAGATGCTAGGGTTTGCTCCAAGTGAAGATTTGGGAAGTTCCTCTTCAAGAGAGGATTGCAACAAGCACAAGGAAGGATTGAGGCATCACAATGATGGTTTTTTCCCTTTTCCTTTGTGTTCTTCCTTCTTCTAGCATGGAGTAGTCTCCTATTCACTTGGGTGTTGTAGAACTCTAACTTCTACCATGTAGTTGATTGTGTGGATTGAATGTTTTTTTGTGGGTGATATTTAATTTAAGATTTGAGGTATTGTTCATGATGATTGTGCATTGTGTGTGCTTGGCAATCTATTCTGCTACTCTAACCTAGCATAGAGAGAAACCCCCTTATCTTAAGAGGCTCAAATTGAGCTAGGTCTTCTTAGGCATTCCATGCCTCCTAACTAGGTTAAGGTAGGGAAAACCTCTAAACTCAAATTAGAGACCTAGGTTAATTGTGATTAAGTCATCCAAACCTCGGTTTGAGAGAGAAGGTAAGTCAACCCTCAAGTGCTTGGGCCAAGAGGGCTACATCGTAGCCTATAATGCATTCCCTGAGGCATGGCATAACCAATCACAACAATGAAGGTTGCCATGTTGCGAAGATATTTCTCAATAAACAACATCATTTATAATTGTAACTTCATCATCCATTGTGTTTTATCATTTATGATTTAACGAAATTACTTTACAAACAAGAAACTGAATTCTACCCAAAACAAATAAGAAACAATATGCGAAGATATTTCTCAATAAACAACATCATTTATAATTGTAACTTCATCATCCATTGTGTTTTATCATTTATGATTTAACGAAATTACTTTACAAACAAGAAACTGAATTCTACCCAAAACAATAAGAAACAATATACTAAACGATCAATCATAGTGCTTATAATAACAATTCCCAAGTTTTTTTCATTTTTTGTGTTCTTCACTTCTTCTCGTGTGTTGTAAGCTGATCTCCGGCTTCCTCCTCCTATCTCTCTCATTATCTTCCCTATTCTTTCTCTGGCTGAAACCAAACAATGATAGAGGTTTCGTCTTGTTCATTCTTTTGGTTTGATGGTTCATTGCATGTTTCATAGTTAACTTGACTACCAAGTAGCAAATTATCATTTCCTCGCATTGTCCTATCTTTTCCCCCTCCCAGATGTGGCCCAGACTCCCTTCCTGCCACCATCATTACACTTGTGGACAATTACATACACTTTCTTGCCAATGTTTATGAGTCTTATGGTGTGCGTTGCTAGAGTATTTCATTGTTGCTTATTGTACCCAAAAATAGTGAGAGTGGCAGGAGTGCAATTTTCCCTCAACGGCGAGGGCAAAGGCTTACGAGGTCGACTATATAAACAAGTGGCTCTAACCCTAAACAAATACATCTAAGCCAACCCTCCGACTTCCTACTCCCATCTACGTTATTCTCTCCCCCATTCCCTCTGTCTTCCTCCTCCCATTTACTTTATTCTCTCCCCCGTTCTTCGTGTGACTGAAACCCAGAAACAAAAATAAGAAACAAGCAGACCTTGAGTAGGTGGAGATTGCCGCCGCAGGATAATCACTATCCTTTCGTTTCCCTGACCCATGATTGATCTTTCGGACATGATACTATACTCTAATCCTTAAAGATCAAAATCTATATCTTGATTCTCTAAATCTTATTCTCCAAGATCAATTTAATTAAAAACAATAATCGACGGTTTCGTCCAAATATAGGCAAAAAAATGAATGCACCATCTTAGGATTTATAATTTATGATTTAGATAATTAGGACCTAGGGTTTGCTCATGAAGGGTTAGGGTATAGTATCAAGCCAAAAAATCCTGCTACTTCGAGATCTAGACAGCATTTTCCAACTCACGGTATCTTGTACCCTGGATTTCACCCGGGGTACCATAGAAGTATATGGTGACTATTTCGGTGCACTCACAAAAATGAGTGCGTTCAATGCACCCAACTCAAAAACGAGTCTTAAGGTATCAGATTTTGAATTTTAATTTGTAGAATTAATGTAATATGATGATATAACATATGATAACAACTAATTAGCGGATTACCCAAGCCCTAGACCTCCAATTTTGAGTTCTATCCCTAAACCCCAAATTGTAAACCGTAACCCTAAATCTCTAAACTCTAAATTCTTCAAATTTAAGTAAATCTTTAATGGTTTTTGTGAAAATTCATGTGTGTTATTGTTCATCGCATCATAAGTGATGATTGGCATAATTTTGACATAAATCACATGTTTAAAATGACGGTTGCGAAGCGATTGCACTGAATGCACCCGCCTCATAATCGTCATTCTGAGCAGGCGATTCATGTGAAAACAATGTCAATCATCCCTTGTGGTATGATGAACAAAAGCCACATGAATTTGTACAAAAATCATTCCAAGATTCACTTTATTTGAATGATTCAGGGTTTAGAAATTTAGGGTTTGGGTTAGGGTTTACAATTTGGGATTTTGGGTTGAGATTCGAAATTGAAGGTTAATAGGTTAGGGTAATGGGTTGATTAGTTGTGATTATGTGTTATATCATCATATGAGACTAATGCTACCCATTAAATTTCAAAATTTGGTGTATTATGACCACTTTTAGAGGTGGGTGCACTGAATGCACAAAAAAAAGTGAGTGCACCGAAGCAGCTACCATATATGTGTGGGGGGGGGGGGGGGGAGTTCTACGGTACCCAGGGTGAAATCCGGGGTAACGCATACCTTGAGTAAAAAAATGCTATCCAGAACTTGAATTGACTGATCTTTCGGACATGATACTATACCTTAAATCTTAATTCTCTACATCTTATACCCCAAGATCAATTTAGTTAGAAACAATAATTGACGGTTATGATTCGTCCAAATATAGGTAAAAAAATCAATGCACCATCTTAGGATTTATAGTTTATGATTTAGATAATTAGGACCTATGGTTCACTCATTAAGGTTAGTATATAGTATCATGCCCAAAAATCCTGCTAATTCGAGATCTAGATAGCGTTTTCATACTCAAGGTATGCGGTACCCCGGATTTCACCCGGGGTACCGTAGAAGGCACCATGTATATATATACCCCGGATTTCACCCACCGTACGCCAAATACGCATGCGTTCACGCTTGTTATATGTACTTTTCTATTTTTTGATGAATCAGAACCTCGGTTGTTATTATTTTAGATTAATTGAATTTAATGATTAGAGCTAGAGAATTAGGGACTAGGGTTCACCCATTAGAGATTAGGGTATAATATCATTTTCCAAACTCAGTCACTTATGTATACGTCATTGATCATACTTGAGTGCATCTAAGAAAACTCTAAGAGTAGTTTGTATATGCAATATTTTTTCATACTTCTTTCCCACATTCAATGTTTCTTTTTTGAAATTTAATCTTTCAAGCAAAACAAAATCAAAGATAACCTCAACCCCTTAGTCGGTTTCCAACCAACCATTTGTGGCATAATTTGAAAAATTACTTGTAGGGGTCGTTTGGATGGATTAATTGAAAAACGAGACAATTTGACCAATTGTCTTATTTTACAAATTGAGTCATTTAAAACGAGTCAATACGAATTGTCTGCCCCACCCTAGACAACTATAATTGCCTCAAGATGAATCAATTTGAATTTTCTCAGACAGAATTGCTTCATCTAAATTTGTGCTGCCAAATGAATCAATTTGACCATATTGTCTCAAAACAAAATAATTGAATCAAATTGCTTGGGTTAATTGCATGGTTGGTCACTGAGATTACAAAAAACGTTCAAATTTGGTCACTCGAAATATTTAAATCCATTGGTGGTACTTTAGTTTACTGAAACCGTTCACGTTTGGTCACTCTTTGTCCAACTCCGTTAACTTTTGCTTACATGGTGGTCAACTCTAAAAGTTGACCGTTAAATGTGTGACGTGGCAATTTAAAAACAATAAAATTAAAAATTTTAAAATTGTCATCTCATTTCCACCTCATTATCACTTTTATTTAAAATAAATAAAAAAATCATAATTTCTTCTAATCTCAATACCAATACCCCGGGCAGCATACCCCGCCATCGGTTGTTGTCGTCGGAGGGGCAGAGGAGGTTTCTGCCGATGGCGGCACGCTCCCGCTTGTGTGCGTTCTTGTGGTCGTCGATTGCTTGGGAGGTAGAGAAGCAGCGAGTGCAGTAGATGCAACTGTAGATGCGACCTCCGCCGCCTGTGGAAGAGAAAGAGGATGTGGGGTTTTTTGGTGATGTGGATTCGGCGGCGACTGGGGCGGTGGGTGAGGTAGGGGAAGGAGGGTGGTGGTGGTAGTGGGAGGAGTGATGAGCGTAGCAGTGGTGGTGGGGATTGAAGAAGTTGAAGTGGGAGTCCCCCCATTGTTTGCGATGTGTTATGTATAACAATGGCGGCCGGTTAGAGAGAACAAATTGATCAGATTTTTGTGCGCATTGTTTGTGGGGGTTATTTATATTGTATGGGATTGGGGCAGAAGAAGAAGGAAGAGAGTGGATATAAATCAAATGGGAAGAATAATAATAATGGAGGTGTGAGGGGTGTTTGTCGTTATTTGCTGCGTCGTTTGACTGATCTCTCTGTCTCCCGCCGCCATGGCGACAAACACTTCCTCCATCGGCAAAATCGAAGACGATCTACTCGCAAAAATTCTCACTCGTCTTCCGAGCGCCAGATCAGCCTTCCGATGCAGATTCATCTGCAAGCGATGGAACTCACTCATCGCAAGTCCCTACTCCTCCACCCGATCGGTTACGCCGGTGAGCCGGAACAGCCAATTCTCACTGCCTCCAAGCTTCGGGAATTGCTCGTGGACTTTGTTACAACCCTCTCTTTTGGATTGCTTAATTCATATTTCAGGTATATGATAGTTGGACGTGAGATGATGATGAGCGTGATCTATGTTGGAGCTTCAATGAAGAAATCATCATCATAACACTAGGGAATGTGCTTAAGTATTTAAATACTAAGAGTAGACGACTAAACTAAATCTTAGGAGAGATGATGATGAGCGTGAATCAACTCTCTTTTGGTGCATGCGCGAATGAGAGGGGCATATTACTTTTATTATGAGCTAATGGTGGAATTATTCCCTTCATTTGGAAAGGTTATTTGGAGTGGTGGTTTATCCTGGAAGCGGAACCATTTGAGTATGGCATGTGTGAGGTCGTGGAAATGATTCTACACAATAAATAAAAGCCAAATGATAAAACTTGAAGCTTCATTTCAAATTTCCTGCATCCAGAGTGAAAGTAGGAAGGACATTTTTCCCGATAAGTTGTTATTCTCATTAAGCTCAACTGGCAAAGTCCAGAATCGAAAAAACAAAAGATGGTGAACAAACACCTACCACAGCAAGGAAAAACCTAGAAACCACCCCTTATATCTACCTTTACATAATTACCCTGCCCCTACGCCTAAAGAATGGTAAACGCAACACTAAACTCAGGATTATTAACACCAAATAGATCTACATCCGATCTAAAATTAGCCACGAGCTTCTCCACAGAAGTCCTACCACCACCAAAAATTCTGCAGCATCTCTCCCGCCAGATTGCAGCTAGCAACCAGCACCAACAAAAACCAATCACAGGCCCCTGGGTATTTGCCTTTAAAAAACCAATAGCATCACTAAACCATGACTCCCACCCTCTATCAGCAGGCATTGGACAGCCCTGAAAAACCACGTCTGCAACTCTTCTCGTGTATGCACACTCAAAAAACAAATGGCTTTGAGTTTCATGGCTGCTAGAACAAAGCACACAGCTAGGGTCAACTGCCATCCCCCAACGAAGCAACTTGTCTCTTGTGATAATTTTGTCTTTAATAATAAGCCAGGAGAGGAATCTGTTGCTAGGAATAGCATGTTTCGCCCATAAAAGGTGCCACCAATCAACAGCAGGTTGTTTACTCCGCAAAGAATTCCACACAACTGTAATCTTATATCTCTCTAACAACTTACCCTCCCAGGACACTTCACCACTTTCCTCCACCATCACTCTGTATTGAAACCAAGCACGAACCCTAAGCACCATCTTCCAAATCCAAGATCCACTTTGTGTCTCTTTCAGGTCCCAGAAGCATTCCCTTTTAATTTTATACTTATAAGCCCAAGTCACCCAGAATGAGCCACCCCTCATCAAAAGGAGCCAAAGAAGTCTCCCAGCAGATGCTACATTCCAAACAGTAAGATCTTTGAGACCTAAGCCACCCTCCTTTTTGGGGATGGTGAGTAGATTCCAATCCACCTTTGCCTTACCAGAACCATTACCATGCCACAGAAAGTCAGAGCAAAGTTTCTGAACTTGTTTTATAACACACTTAGGCAGAATAAAGATACCAAGCCAATACTGCAGGATTGGGTAAATAACTGAGAAAATAAGCTCTAGCCTGCCAACATAGGTGAGCTTTCCAGACCTCCAAGAACGGAGCTTACTAATAACTCTATCAATCAGTAAATCACATTCTCTCACAGAAAGTTTGCCAGCAACCAAAGGTGGCCCTAGGTATCGAACATGAAGAGATCCTTCCTGAAAACCAGTCAAATTCAATGTTGTATCCCTAGCTACTCGAGGAGTACCACCAAAATAGACAACACATTTATTTGGATGACATTTAAGCCCTTAATAGAATAGAATTTATCCAGCACTCTCCTTACACAAGTGAGAGCCCATCCTGAACCTTTAGTAAAGATAAGAAGATCGTCTGCAAAACATAGATGAGTTAAACCTATAGACTTGCATTGAGGGTGGAAAGGAAGCTGCTTAAGAAGAGCTGCCTTGTTCAACATTAGGGACAACACCTCAATAACCAAAATGAACAGGTATGGCGACAGTGGGTCACCTTGCCTCACCCCTTTACAAGCTGGAAAGAAGCCACACAGGCCTCCATTTATACTCACACTAAAGAAAGCATATGACAAGCAGACTTTAATCCAATCAATGAAACGCTGTGGAAATTGCATAGCTTCCATGACTTGAAATAGAAATTCCCAGTGTACAGAGTCAAAGGCTTTCATAAGATCCACCTTGACTCAACAACGAGAACTAATATCCTTTTGTTTATATTTGGAAACCATTTCCTGTGCCATCAAGATGTTCTCAGAAATGTTCCTTCCTTTAATAAAAACGGACTTATTTCTACTTATTATGCTAGGGAGGACAGACTGCAATCTATTAGCCAAAACCTTGGAAATGACTTTGTAAACCACATTTATACACGCAATTGGCCTATATTCAGTCATCTTACACGCATTCTGAACCTTAGGGACTAAAGTGAGAGAAGCAGAGTTCAAACCTCTTGGGAAAGTCCCTTGATCAAAGAATTCCAGAACTCCTGCAGTGAAGTCTTCACCAACCACGCTCCAAGTCTTCTGATAAAACCCAGGGTCCAACCATCAGGGCCAGGAGCCTTGTCTGGCTTCATAGAGGACAGCGCAGATTTAATCTCATTCACTGTAACTGGAGCACATAAAGCATTCCCCTCATCAAGAGATACATTCTTTTCAATTAACATAGTCAAGAGAGCTGGATCAGGTTGAATCTCACCATTAACCACCCCATACAACTTTCTATAAAAGGAGACAGCTTCATCGGCAATTTCTTCAGGTTTCTCTATAATCTCCCCAGAATCCAGAGTTAACTGATTAATCATCTTCTTAGCATGCCTTATCTTCATAGCTAGATGAAAAAACCCCGTATTAGAGTCACCTAATGTAAGCCATTGGACTCTTGACTTCTGCCTATAAAAACTTCCCTCTGCTTTCTGCAAATGATAAAGAGTTCTTGCAAGGTTCTGCTCCACGACAAAATTACTCTCCGAGGGATACTGGAGAGAATCCAGTTGAGCATTTTTATAAAGTTCATGTGCCTCCCTAACCTGCTTACTGATATCAGCATAACATTCTTTATTCAGCTTCTTTAATTCTGTCTTAGCAGATAGCTGCTTCATCCTCAGACAGTACAACTTGGATCCCTGAATCGATGTAGCCCAAGCATTCTTCATGATATCCATATACGAAGGATAATCCAACCACATATCAAAAAACCGAAATGGTTTGGGGAAAGATTTTGCTAGCAGAGTAGGTTTTATAAGTAACCCACAATGATCAGTAAAATCGGGCGGAAGAAATTCCACAACACAAGAAGAGAAAGAAGAGTGCCAATCAGAATTAACTAGCACTCTATCTAACATCATCGCAATAGGATTAGCTGCCTGCCTATTTGTCCAAGAAAACCAAGGCCCAGAAAAACGATGATCATCCAGCTCCATACAACCCACCCAACTATGAAAAGCCATCATACTTGAGTTGACAGAAACATCATTTGAAGCCTCATCAGGGTTGAGTATGGAACTAAAATCTCCAGCAACTACCCAGGGAAACCCTCTAACAACAAAAGGACTCCGTGCTGAATACATAGATGCTCTTTCTACCTCTTCATTCGACCCATAAATTGCAGTGAAAAAGAAACTGACCCTGTTTTGTGCTCGGACTAACAAGTGCATATAATCAGCACCATCACTAATCTTAACCACTTGCAACCCTTTCTTCCAAAAACACCAAATCCTACCTAAAGGGGCATGATTATAATTGGGTTTAAACTCATAGTCACAAAACTTCGCAATGATTTCCTCAGACTTACTAACTTGAACACGAGTTTCTAAAATTGCACCTACCTCTACCTTATATCTACGTAAATAATCAAGCACTGAAGAGTGCTTGGAGGGGTTATTGAACCCCCTCACGTTCCAAACAAGACAAATCATCCAGCAGGAAGGACATTTTGGTCTTCACAATTACTTTTTTTATTCATTAAAAAGACACTTACTAGGATTCGAACCATGACCACTTTAAAGAAAACCAAAGATCATAACCAATCACACTAAATACATTTGTTGTATCTTTTTAAATTAAAAACATATAATCGCAGAGAAGAAAAAACATTTCCCCCATTTCAAATTCCCTGCTCCAGGAGCGTTTGTAGGAAGGGTAGAATAGGGAGTGTCAATTTTTTTCTTTTTCCTCTATGGAACAGGCCAACTTACCGTACACATGCAAATTTAAACGGGTCCAGGAGTGTGAGTTTTTTTTTTAAGTCCTTTTATTTCTCCGTGGTGGTAAAATATATATGAAAAAGCAAAAACAATACTCCTTTTTATTGCTACAAAGAAAAAAAAATTAACAATAAACTAATGCATAAATTCTAATGGCTAACCGCTAATCATAAAATAAAAGAGTTGAATGGGTCTGACCTACACGAGATTTACCCATCAAGTAAAACAAATGAACATCATGGGTTTGTCATTCTAAAACAAGCTATTTTCTCTAGCATAATATATATTATGCTATTATTTTATATCTTAGTGGCTAAAATATAATGAATTTTAAAGTTATTCAATGGTTCAACCTCGACCAACCCAATTAGTCCAATTTTTATCATTTAAAATATATATTATGTAATTATTTGATATCATAATGATTAAATTATAGTGTATATTATAGGGAATTGTTTGGTATTTGTTAGTAAAAATTCACTATTTTATCACGTGTTTCCCAAAAAAAACTATACAACAATAAGCTATACACCCCATTACATTATCAAATTTCATACCTCACCTTCCTCCGGCCAAATGATCGAGGCCCACGCTAGTTATTTAATAAGGATACTTAAGTGTGATTAGTGAAATGTACTTGTAAGGTGCTAAGTTAAAATTAAATATAAACAAAGCCAGTTACATTATATTGTTTATTTTAAATTATATGATTAGTATTTAAGGGTTTGGCTAGGGTTAATGGGTGATTGACATTGCATTAAACATGGTTTTGCAACTTCTTAAAGGTAAAGAGAAGGTCGGGGAATCATCGAAAGGCAAGGGAATAACATAGTAACGCAAAACTGTGAGTAAATTCTAACCTATTAACCGTATGGATACAAATATGGTATTCGGGTCATGAAGCGGCCCGAATATAGAATATGAAATGTGGGCTAAATAGATGGCTACGAATATATGTGTGTGAATGAAATGATATGTGATGGATGATGGTGAATGTGGTGTGTGTATGACTATGTGATGATACGTGTGAAACGTGGTAGGTGAATTTTATGAATGGGAAATGAAATGGGTATGTGATATGAAATGGCCTAAAAGGCGACATTACAGTACGAAAAAGACTATGAGGCTATGGGGGGATAATGTATGGCCTGAATGGCTATACGATTATACTAGGATAGTCTAATTGGCGATCGTGTGATTACTGGAAAGCATGTTATTCAGAAATGTGATACTGGGAAGCCTATAAGGCGACGATGTGAATATATGAAATGGTGAATGTGACTGTGTGAATGTGATGAATACATAAATAGATATGTGTTAAATGATTGATGATACTGCTTGCAACATGTTATGTGACTAACTAAAGAATTGTCTGATCATCTAAATCAAACTTAATGGCGCCATGTCATGCACTCTATGAGATTCGATAATGTGGCTATGCCTAGCTCTCTGGGAGAGAGATACCAGGCCTGGTCATTGGCGATGCTTAATGCATCTATTGGCGGTGCTTAATGCATCTATTGGCGGTGCTTTATGCATCTATTGGCGGTGCCTAAGGAATCTATTGGGCGGTGCTTTATGCATCTATTGGCGATGCATTATGCATCTATTGGATATACCCGGGGGAGTGCATGGCTTGGCAACTTAAAGGCTAAAAGGCACGTAATCTAACTAACCTTGTGTGTGTATGGATGGGTGTACTAGTGTGTGTGTGTCATATTGACTACTGAATTGTGCATGGTTACATGTCTGGAATGCCGTAGCAAAGTTGATACTGAAATTGGTTATCTCGGAAAACTTAGATATTAAGCACGGGGCTCGACTTCACCAGAGATTATGTTTGTATTGATATTGTTGATAGGTTAGCTTTTACTCATTGAGGTGACGTCTCACCCCGTCAAAATTTTCTCCAGATTAGAAGTGTTGGACTAGAAGTCAAGGAAACTCAATAAGGCTCAGCTCGACATCAATGAGGTGGGATGGTGGACTCAGACTCAGACATGATTTGTTTATAGTATTTTGAGAGAAGATGGTCTTTTCTATTGTCATGTGTTTTGAAGTATTAAAAGTTTATGTAAATTATGGTTTGGTTTGTGAACGAAACAGACTTGTAAAAGATTTTATTCGGTATAATCTTGTGAATGTTTTAAAGTATGTATGGATGTTACAGACTTCCTCCCCTTGACCTACTCCGAGCGAAACCATCTCTCCATTTTGGATTGCTGCAAAGAGTTGCTCTTACTCGGGTTTAGGACCGGCGACCGCAGGGAATCAGAATTAGACCAAACGTTATTGGTCTGTAATCCGTTTACAGAGTAGTAGATCTTCCTTCCTTTGCCCACTCAAAGTTGGCCGATGCCCGCAGGTAGCTGCTAAGCAAGATTAGTATGTGAGCCCAGTAAACCGACTGCCCTGTATTCAAAACAAAAGATTCCACAGGCGGTGGGGGTCGCATCTACTGCACTCGCCGCTTCTCTACCTCCCAAGCACTCGGTGGCCGCCAGAACGCACACAAGCGGGAGAGCGCCGCCGCCTGCAACAACCTCCTTTGCCCCCCCGACGACATCAACCGACGACGGGGGTATGTTGCCGGCGGGTATTGGTATGGAGTTTAGAAGAAATTAGAGTTTTTTTTTATCTATTTTAAATAAAAGTGATAATGGGATGGAAATGACATGACAATTTTTTAAAATTTAATTTTATTAATTTTAAATTATCACGTCACACATTTAACGGTCAACTTTTAGAGTTGACCGCCACATAAACAAAAGTTAACGGAATTGGACGGAGAGTGACCAAACGTGAATGGTTTCAGTAAACTAAAGTACCACCAATGGTTTTAAATATTTCGAGTGACCAAACTTGAACTTTGTTTATAATCTCAGTGACCAACCATACAATTCCCAAATTGATTTATTAGAATTCCTTATAACCGCAGTTTTGTGAAAACAATCCACTGGATATTTGTTTTGTCCGTCCTCGCATCTGGGATAGGTTGCTCAGCAGCAGCCACTGCCAGGCCCAGCAGGGGCATCTAAATCATATGATATCTATCGTCTCAGCCGCAGCTACACCAACTAACATTTAGGAACTCGAGTCCACACTGCCTGGCGGCTCCACTTGTATCATTTCATACACAACTACCAAGGGTACGATGGTAAAAGGAGCAACAACCTGTTCAGTCTGTCTCTCTCCATTCCAGTGGCGGACCAAAATGAGCAGGTCGCCCAAAACTTAAAAATCCCAGCCAGCCCCGTCTTTTCTCAACTCCCAAACGGCGAGATTAGTTTTATCATTTGGTATTATTCACGAAGGAGGAGGAGGAGCTTAGAAAAGAAAAAAAGACAGCGCTTATTATGCTCCTCGCTTATCAATTCATTCCTGGTTTCCGCCAATTCCTCTCACCCCGAGCTTCCGCTACTGCTACTGCTGCCGCTGCCTGTGCTCTCTGATTGATCGGGTTAGTCTCTATAGTTTCTCTCCGTTTAAAAAATTAGCTTCTAGTTCTAGGCTTTTCTATCTTTCATTTGGTTCTCACCGTTAATTCGATTCGCTTAGCAGCAGTTTTTGTTTGCTTGCGCAGGTGTTTGATTGAAAGCTTGCGAGTAGAAGGAACGTGTGCACTTCCTTCCTGTCCGGTACGGCCAGGGAGAATTTGTCCTGCCGTTGAACTCTGTCTATGGTTCCTATGGATTTCGCGTGTTGTGCGTATCAACCGAATGCCTTCCCGGGCTGTGAAGGCACAAGTTACAGGGTGTTGAGTAGGTTGCATTCCGGGCTTGGATACAGAAGTTCCAGTCATGACTCCATTGATTGGAAGGATAGGTCGTCAAGGAGGATTAAGAAGGCCGTTGTCTGTAGTAGCCGTTTGAATTCGAGTTTGGTATCCAGTAGAGGACTAAATACTCATTGGTGGACCGGCTACTCCAACAGTTCCCTGTTTTCTGCCTCCCGTGATGCTCCCAGGCTGATGAAGAGGCATTGCCAGGGTAATGATTCTGTAGAGTATGTTGATGGGAATGGAAATGGCCGACATGTTGAATTGGTGGAAGGTAATGGCGAGGCTCGGCCAACGGATTCCACTGACTCACCCAAGGAAGCCGGAGAAGAAAAAGCAGTTGGCACACTTTCTTTGGACGAGTTAAGAGAGTTTTTGCAGAAGGCCACAAAAGAGTTGGAAGTTGCACGGCTTAACAGTACCATGTTTGAGGAGAAGGCGCAACAGATTGCAGAAGCTGCAATTGCATCCAAGGATGATGCAGCAAATGCTTGGAGTGATGTCAATTCAGCTCTGGATGTGATTCAACAGATTGTGAATGAGGAGTTTGTGGCCAAAGAAGCTGTCCAAAAGGCAACAATGTCCCTCTCTTTGGCTGAGGCCAGACTGAAGTTGGCAACTGAATCGTCAGAAACTTCAACAGAAGCGAGTGCTTCACCCGGAGAAACCACTGACAGTGACACTGAAAGCGAAGACAAACAACACAACATTGTAATTTTTGCTGCACAGAAGGATATCAAGGAATGTCAGGCAATTTTGCTAAATTGTGAGGCTGAGCTAAAGCGACTACAAGATAAGAAAGGAGAGCTACAGCAAGAGGTGGATAGATTGAAGGGCATTGCAGAGAAAGCACAGATGGATGCACTAAAAGCAGAGGAAGAGGTTGGGAACATTATGTTTTTAGCTGAGCAAGCTGTTGCTTTCGAACTCGAGGCTGCCAAACGGGTAAGTGATGCAGAAATTGCATTACGCAGAGCAGAAAAGTCCCTCTCCGTGTCTAAGTATGATGCATATGAAACAACACAGGGATATGTGTCTGGTGATGAGCCTGTTCTTGAGGTGGAGAAGGTAGATGAAGGAAGCAATGCTGATATTGCAAAAGAAATTAACATTATTACCAGTGGGGATGTTTTACTGGGCGAGCTTGCTCAAGACAGACTGTTGGATAAACAAAGCCTGAGTTCTGAAGAGTTACATCAAGTTGATGGTTCTTCTGTTCAAGAGAATGGACAAGTGATTGTTGACCATCCTAAAGAATCTGAATTGGAAGTGGAAAGATCAAAGAAGGAGGGACAAGCTAGAAAGCAGGATTTGCAGAAGGATGCAATGAGAGAGACATCACCTTCACCTTTCAATCCTCAAAAGACATCATTAAATAAATCTTCTCGTTTTTTCTCTGCATCATTCTTCTCTTTCACTGTAGACGGGACAGAGTTTACACCAGCTTCAGTTTTCCAAACTCTTATGGTGTCTGCAAAGAACCAATTGCCTAAGCTAGTTGTTGGACTACTGCTGATTGGAGGAGGGTAAGTACATGTCTTTTTCTTTTTTTACCCACTTTCTTGTTCATTGTTATCCCAGATGTTAATGACTCTTTAGCATTAGACTGTTTGATAGATTGAATAGCTTGGAGTTCTGCTCTAGCTTAATGATAGATTCTGGAATTTTTCTTCATATTTCTCTAGAACAGCCACAAGTTTCTTAACTTTTTGTTATTTGTTTCTGGAGTTGCTGATTTAGTTTTGGGAACTTATAATGGTTTCTGTTGCTGCATTGTGAACTTGTTGCCATAATGAGAAGTGAAGGGGACGTATCACCTTTTTGTCTGAATATTTTTCTTTCACTCAACTAGTTTTATATGTTGATGGTTGTATACCACATTAGGGAACCATTGAAGTTGCTGTTATCCTTTATCTTCACACAACTTACTGATTTGTGGACAGGTTTGCATTCTACACTAACCGCCTAGATAGGAGTTCTCAGATGCTTCTGCAGCAAGACATTGTCAACACCAGCATTGAAGAAGTTTCTTTGGATGCAAAACCCTTATTTATTCATTTAAAGAAGTTCCCAAAGAAAGTCAAACAGCTGCTTGCAAAGCTTCCTCATCAAGAGGCATATTTTTCTACCCCCTTGCCACGTTTCTCATACTTCTTTTGCGCATGTAGCTTCTCTGATCTAATTGATTCTTCCATATGAATAGATCAACGAGGAAGAGGCTTCTTTATTTGATATGCTATGGCTACTTCTTGCTAGTGTCATATTTGTTCCCATCTTTCAGAAAATTCCTGGAGGTAAATTAACTATGCCCTTTGACACTAGCACAAGTTCAGCTTTTCTGTATTAGCATAATATCAGACTTAACTCCAGTTGCAGGGATAGCTCTCGTTGGTGATTTTCAGCTCTTACTTCCTTTTTTCTTATAAGTAATTCATGCATCTATTTTCCATTTGTTTAGTTGAGATTTGAGAATTATAGATTTGACACTTACTCCTATGGTTCTTTCTGGAGTTTCAACTAGGATAGTGTTTTGCTGATTGCTGTTAATTGTGCAATTCAGGTAGTCCTGTACTTGGATACTTGGCTGCTGGCATTTTAATTGGTCCTTATGGCTTGTCTATTATTCGTCATGTGCATGGGACAAAGGCAATTGCTGAATTTGGAGTCGTTTTCCTGCTGTTCAATATTGGGCTTGAGGTGGCTTTTCTTAAGACTCAGTGTTTTGTATTTTCTATCTTTATAGTGATGAGACGGTTGATTGAATCTTCCTTTCCTTCCCATTTCCATTTAATAGCTTTCTGTTGAAAGACTTAGTTCCATGAAGAAATATGTCTTTGGGTTAGGCTCGGCTCAGGTATTGTAAATTCCTTCCTAGAACTACCCTCATCTCCGGACCAGCTTATTCGTTGCTTGAAAATTTTTCCTTTTGTATTTTATGAGCATGATGTAGGTGTTGGTGACCGCAGCTGCCGTTGGTTTGGCTGCTCATTTTCTTGCTGGAGTACCTGTTCCTGCTGCAATCGTCATTGGGAATGGTCTAGCATTATCTTCTACTGCTGTAGTTCTGCAGGTTAGTCTATTCTTTCTCTCTTGTTAACTTGTTGGCTTTCATGGGTTTTGGATGATCCATTTAATAGGCAATTCAAACTTGGAAGACTTCTGAAATGCAACCAAATATCACAAAATCAAACTCTTCGATCCGATAGAAACCTGTATATTTGAGAGTTTAGTGTTTTGCTTTCTTTTTTTTATTGTAACTTTTTGTGGGTTTGGATGGTCCATTTAATAGACCATTCGTACTTGGTCCATTTTATACCTTAAACGTAAAGATACACAATAAAATTCCATCCATAAGCTTCGTGCCCATTTGAAGGTGAAGATGCTAGATGACTAGAGTCATCTTAAGAAAACATGATATTCAATATTAATTTCACCATCCCAGCAATTAGGTTAAGTCTTTCATTATGGTGACTTTTATAGTGTTTCAAATCCTTGCAATTTAGGGGTCGTTTGGTTTCTATGTACATTGGATTGATGTATTGTAAAATACACGTGCTAATGAATCGGTTCATTATGGCCTAGAAAAGAAAAAAACTAAAAAAAGAATTGGATCATTATAGATTACAACATTTGGTTTATGGTTTTTGTGTTTGTGAGTTTAATGATTTAAAAGGTCAAGTTACTTTTTAAGGGAATTGTCACTTTTACCCTTTCTTTTCAATGTAAAAGCCAACAATATCCTTTGGTTCCCTGTCTCTTACTTCTTCTCTTAAACGAACGATCGATCCCTCTTGTCTTCTCTAGACCAATTCTTGGCTTGGAATGGAGAAAAAAAATCTTGGCCGCATCAGGAGATTTTCAAGGACTTGCAATTCGGAAAGAGGCTGGCCAAAATTAGGGTTATAGTTTATTGACTGAAAATGAAAGTCGTAAAATAAACTTATAATGTAGGAGTGAGTTGGAGAATAAAATTGGAGTGAACTTTTGTCTATTTGTTGGTTAAGAGGATGTTAGAATAAAAATCAAGGGTATTGTGAGAATACAAAAAATAGGCAGGGACAATCATTCGTTTTAAGTGATTGTAGTTGACACATCAAAAGTGAAAACATGAATTGTTTATTTATGATCGAAAAATCAAAAGCAATTAATTCTATCGAACACAGGTATTCTAACAATCACAGATAAATAATCATATAAAGATAATGACTATTTAGAGTCTAGATTGTTCTGTTCTCCAGGTATCATCATTTTAGATGGATGCATCTGTCATTTGTTCGTGGCCTTTTCTAAATTAAGTGCTTTGATGGTTGTTTTCGAGCTCTATTGAGTTGATTGATGTAACAAAGTTTGATGATAGCATGATCATTGTTGAGGTTATCCTTTACCTTGTCTAAAATTTGAAAGGGTCACGTAAACATCACATATGGAAACGATAATATGTCTGTTCTCTCAGGTGTTGCAAGAACGTGGTGAGAGCACATCACGTCATGGACGTGCTACATTCTCCGTCTTACTATTCCAGGTATTTCTTGGGTGTCTAGTTGTATATTACATTTCAAGATAAAAGATGAATGAGAACCAACTTGAAAATTGCAAACTGAAAAGTACTTAGGAACTGATATTCCCATGCCCCTGTAATTCTCTCTACAAGGACCTGTTATCATACAATTTTGTTTTACTGAAATTAGTTGTTTCTTAGACCATTTGGGACTGTATTCTCTTAGTTAAGTGTTTAGGGTATAGCTGACGTACTGTCATCATATCTTGCTTGGCCAGTATATGCAGAATAGTAAAAGAATGTAGGCTTTGGTACCCAGTACTTTTTATATGTTCAAGATTGATGTTTGTTGACATTGCATAAGTCATCCTGCCATTTGTGGCTCTGTTTTTTGTTCACTACTACATCCTATGGTTGTCTTTGTGATGTAGAGTTCCAGAAATCTGATTCTCTTTTCGTGATTTACAGGATTTGGCTGTTGTGGTATTGCTAATACTAATACCACTCATTTCACCAAATTCATCAAAAGGAGGGGTAACTACTATTACTATATCTTTAATACTATTCTTTTGTGCTTTATTTGCTATGGCTGTGAAATGCGGGTACGAGGGTCTATGAGCAACTTTCAGTCACCATTGGCCACTAACATATTTGTGGTTCAAGTGTACATTATGTGAATATTGATGTAGTAAAGGAAAGAGAAGGAATTTACTTAATTCCTTCATTCCCTCCAGTGGAATCTTTGTCAAGAATGAGCAACAACTGAAATATATAATATTTTGTTGTGGTTGACTGTGACATTACTTTAGAACGCTGCTGCTTGTTGCTTTAGCCAAATTTTCAGTTTGGTGTAGGTAGCTACATTGCTTTCCTTGCCACTGCTTTCTGAGCTGTACCATTGATGTGTTCTGTATCATTTCAGGTTGGTTTTCAGGCAATAGCTGAAGCTCTTGGGCTTGCTGCTGTTAAAGCCGCTGTTGCTATCACTGCCATTATTGCTGGTGGACGCTTGGTAACATTGCATGCCTGTGCATTTCCATGTGTCAACTTTTGTTTTGTTAACTAATTGAAGTGTTTGTTTGATTCTGTCTGCATGGATAGTTATATCAGCATCATGTCCGGTTATGCTACATTTATTTTCTTCCTATTCCTCAAGTTCAGTGTTGGATTAGGGCTCCAACGTTTTCTGTGTTTTATTGGCTACGGTCGATTTGTTTACATCACTTTAGAGGTCTATGTAGCCTGCTGTAAATCTCTTAGACGAGTACAAATCAGCTATGTGTATGTATATAGATATCTCGCCAATAGAGTTTCAAATGATAGAGCTGTTTGCTCTCGTACGAGTGGCTCGATTGCATATTTCTAGAGGTCTCTGTAGCCTGCTGTGAATAAAGTAGCTATGTGTATAGATATTTCGTCAATATAAGGTCAAATGATAGAGCTGTTTGCTCTTGTGCGAGTGGAGCCCTATGGATGAATCTCATTTGAAAAGGGCGTAAGGCTTGATTGGTTCAGTTTGTCTCAATGGGAAATTCAAATGATTACTGATTGCCTTGAAGCTCAATGCCTAAACTGGATTGCTCTCGGATTGCTAAAACTATTAAGTAGTATATTAGGAAGTGTATGGGTTTCTGTATCTTTTCTTGGTGGTAACCAATTTATCCCTTGTTTCTGCAGCTGCTTCGGCCAATATATAAGCAGATTGCTGAAAATCAGAATGCAGAGATATTCTCTGCTAATACACTTCTTGTTATTCTTGGGACTAGTCTCCTCACTGCCAGGGTATGAAATATATCTTATCACTAGTAGAAGGTTTGCTTCTTGAAGTAATACATTTATGTTTTTTCGTTGCCCTAGAGCAGGCGGGACTCTCCATGGCACTGGGGGCATTTTTAGCTGGTCTGCTCCTTGCTGAAACTGAATTTTCCTTGCAAGTTGAATCGGATATTGCTCCATACCGTGGTCTTCTTTTAGGCCTCTTCTTCATGACAGTTAGTACTTGGCAAACAGACTATCTTGAGATATATTCTTTCTTCTATTTTTTTATTGCTTACCTGTATAACTCATCATATATCATAAACCTTGTGAACTTACTGAATAACCTATTCAAGTTGTCATCCACCTCATTTCTTTTAATTTATGCAAGTACTTTGTTTGCTGAGCTAGTCCTTTTCTTTGTGCGTTACTTATTTGAATCACCTTGCTTGCTTTTTAGGTCGGAATGTCAATTGATCCCAAACTACTACTTTCGAATTCTCCTGTGATTATGGGGACACTGGGTCTCTTAATAGCCGGAAAGACACTTTTGGTTGCAATAATCGGCAAGTCCTTCGGTATTTCCCTGATATCTGCAGTAAGGGTTGGCCTCCTCCTTGCTCCTGGTGGCGAATTTGCATTTGTGGCTTTTGGTGAAGCTGTTAATCAGGTATCTTCCCTTGTCACCTCCTCGTACTTACATCATGTTGCTGGTTTCCTGGACGATTTGCACATCAGCTGTCTCATTTACTTATCATCTCTGGGTTTGAAGATATGTTTTTGTGTCCATTAATTAATTTTCTTTTCAATATTTTGTTTAATTATTGATCACCACAACAATTCTCTTTGCAGAAAATGTTATGAAGATACTGATGTCAGAATTCATTGGGTGAAATGAATGTCCTTTTGGACTGCTAAATCCTTGTCTTTACTGATGCTTTTGAATCTTATTCCTTATGCAGAGTATAATGACTCCTCAGCTATCGTCATTGTTGTTTCTTGTTGTGGGGATTTCTATGGCAATCACACCATGGCTAGCTGCTGGTGGTCAGCTAATTGCCTCCCGTTTTGAGCTGCATGATGTTCGAAGTCTATTGCCAGTTGAAAGCGAGGTATTAACTTCTGAATTGGTAACTGACTGACTTCCTGACTTCCCCTGTTGATCAAGGAGCCAGTACTATGCTGCCTTCTTTCCATGATGTGGTACCTCAAACTGCATCACCCAACGGAAATATGAACTATTCCTCTCCATTATGCATTTTTGTAACTTGATATCTTTTTGCTTAATGGATTTTCTAACAATTCTGTAATTGTGATACGCCCTGTAACAAGCATGTGTTTTTTACCATCATGTGATTCTCTAATACTATTCTCTTGCCACATTTTCTTTTCAGACAGATGACTTGCAGGACCATATTATCATCTGTGGATTTGGACGCGTTGGCCAGGTTTTACTTCTCATACGATCTCGAGTTTTGTTTAGTCAATCTTTGTATATTAAGTTATTCCAATTTCTTGGTTATAATTTTGTGTCTGCAACTGGCAGATTATTGCACAGCTTCTTTCAGAACGATTGATTCCATTTGTTGCTCTTGACGTGAGGAGGTAAGGCCATTGAACAAACCATAGTTTCTTCGTTTGGTTGCTTGGGGAGTGCATGTGCTTTTCCAGTCACTTTGTCCTAGTCCTATCTATCTCATCCTGTTTCACTTTGTATCTGTCCCATTGAATTTTTTTGAAGATGGGAGTAGTTTTTGAGAAATCATTTTTTCCTTTTCCTTGTTCCACCTTTCTCAGTGATAGGGTCACATTTGGGCGGGCCTTGGACCTTCCAGTGTACTTTGGAGATGCCGGTAGCCGAGAGGTACGCCTTCCTAAGCTCTAAATAAAGGCAGGCAGTTTGCTGTACATATATCTCTTCATACTTTTCCGTCATCTGTGGCTAGGTCCTCCATAAACTTGGGGCTGAAAGAGCATGCGCTGCAGCAATCACATTGGATACACCTGGTGCAAATTATAGAACCGTTTGGGCTCTCAGCAAGTATTTCCCAAACGTGAAGACTTTTGTCCGAGCGCATGATGTGGACCATGGCCTTAACTTGGAGAAGGCTGGAGCCTCTGCTGTAATCTTCTTCTACCCTCTTTAAGTTTCATGCATTGGGTGCAACCACATTCCTTACATGATAAAATTATATGTGAAGGCCAGTTTGGTCGTAAGCCATGCTGCCCATTTCGCATGTCGTTGCTAATTTACGCTTTAGTTGTTATTTATATGTTCCAATATCTGCTAATCGCATTACCGTTTGATGTCATCAGGTTGTCCCGGAGACCTTGGAACCAAGTCTGCAGTTGGCTGCGGCTGTGCTTGCACAGGTAGGTTTGGCATGATTTACTTCACCATTTGACTTTCTTCCTGTTATAATATGCTCTTCTATCTAGGCTAAACTCCCGACGTCCGAGATTGCTGCAACGATCAATGAATTTAGGTCCCGTCATTTGTCCGAACTCACCGAGGTACACTTCCATTTTCACATCCCCCCAACCCCACTTCTCCTAAATTCAGCAAAGTTGATAGTGAGGGGTGTCAATTTCATTTCGTTCGATGGATGTCTGTTTTGCCCTATCAATCTGCAGCTATGCGAAGCCAGTGGGAGCTCTCTTGGTTATGGATTTTCCCGCGTCATGAGCAAACCAAAAATTCCGCCATCTTCTGATTCTTCTGATGAAAACCAAATCACGGAAGGAACGCTAGCAATATGAGAATTGCTCATTTGAATCATGAGAATTGCTCATTTGAATCAGGTAGAAACAGAATAATAGTATCGACCAAGTGTATAGTGGAACTTCATGTTCCATTGACGAAACTGTACAGGGGACGTGTACTGGCCAAAAACCAAAAGGGCACCTGGCGGGGGACCCCATTGATCTTTCAGTTTGCTGGGTTTATAACCAAATTTTGACACTTTAATCTCTCCACAGTTCTAAAACCAGTGGCCTACCCTGAAGAAACCAACTACTGCAGAAAAGAAAAATAACACAATGATTTACGTGGTTTTCTCGAAGGTTTCCTCGAAAATCATCGAGAATATTCTATGGAGAGCATAACTTTTAGTTCAGGATTGATTTTCACTATGGTTGTGTAAAGCTAATCTGACTGCCGTTCAACTTTAGGTTAAGAGTTCGACCAAGCTAACTTTTTAGTTTTTATACCTTTCCACTCTAAACACGGGTAGAAAGCATAATTACAGAACACAACATTAGGGGTGGGAAACGGGACGGGATTGGGTACCTGTCCCGTTTGAAACGGGCACCCGGTCCCATTTGGAGAGAAAACTCTATCCCATATCCCAACCCGTACAGATTAACGGGTACCCGTTACCCGTGCGGGATGGATAGCGGGTACCCATATAATACCAAAAATAACAAAAATACAATTGGTTTTCAAAAACCTAAACATCGAACAAATTAACATGACCACCAATATAACCATACCAAGATAACTATAATCATTCTTTAGGTTTATGTCTTCTGTATGTTGATTAATTAGGAAAGATGGGTTTATGTCTTAGGTTTATGTCTTCTGTATGTTGATTAAAACTGGTGCATTAATCCTTTCTCAAGCGTGCGAAGTATCAATTTTTGAGTTCCAAAAGTAAAAACAGAACAGTGACAATATTCATGGCTCTGGTAAAGGGTGTGGTTAGTTGAGTTAAGTTCTTATGATTCAATAAAAGCCTCGTGAGAGCAGCTTCTAGCTCAGGTTCCTTTTAATAATGGAACTGTTCGAATTCAAAGGGACAAAAGGTGCAGAAACCACAACTAGGGTCGTTAAAATGGCTCAATTTTTGGCCTAAAATATATCTAGCTTAATTATAGGTGAATTTAGATACAGGTGTGATGGTTTTGAGGCTTGTGTTTTTGGCTAATGGGTATTGCGGGTACCCGTATTACCCAAACGGGTATTAACGGGTATCCCGCGGGTACCCAATGTAGAAATTATTGATCCCAAGTCCCATCCCGTAAAAAAATTTACGGGTGTTTGGGTACCCGTAACCCTCAAAAAACGAGACGGGTACGGGTATACCCAAATACCCGTTTCCCATTGCCCACCCGGCCACCCCTACACAACATGTAATATAAATACTGCACAAAAATGTTTAATACTCCCCCTCAAATTGAAACATGAAGGTCATGAATACCAAGCTTCGACAACAGTATATGAAACTTATTAGTATCCATAGCTTAAGTGGAGATGTCAACGAGCTGGTAATGAGTGCCTACTTTTTGCCTTTAAAAAATTCCGGAGGTAATGCATTCATGAACACAGTTATAGTCGATCTCGATGTGCTAGGTGCGCATGTGGAAGATCGGATTATTTAATATGTAAAGGGCAATTTGATTGTCAAAGTAGAGAGGAGTAGGAGTGCGTTGAGGGGGTTAGAACTCATGAAGCACAAATCAGAGCCAAAGGATCTGATTGGTGGCTCTTCCATGACACAATATTCAACCTTTGGAGATGGTTGAGCCACTGCACGCTGCTTCATCAATCGCGTGGAAATTGGGGCTTCCCCGAGATGGATAAAATAACTCGTGATAGAATGTCGACTGAATTGACAACCAACCAATCTACATCACTATAAGCCGTAAGCTTCAAACCACCTATGGAAGGGAGGAACGTGTGATGAGGTCATCAAAACCAAGCCTACAACATCACAAGAGGGTCTAACTACACGTCCATGGGCTAAGAAGCTAAAGGAATAATTTGCCAACTATTTGGATCGTCGTTTTAACATGGACGTGGACCAGCTCAAAGGGAAGTCCATTGTGTTGCTACAATACATGGAAGGAGAACAAGGGGAGAAGAAGGGCTTGGGAGATCGAGTGGAAATGAAGGAAAGTGAAGGGAGAAGAGGGTGGCGGATTGGATGGGCTTTTGAGGTGTCCTTAGCCCAAAATGAATTTTGTTTCCTTTGCTTAGAAGGAAGTCCATTACTTGGTGGAGAAGGATTATAATTTACGGATTTATAGCTTTTCTTTAAGTGTTATTTTGTTGCATTGTTTGTTTTGGATTTGGGTTGTGTAGCCTATTTAAAGGGCCGAGTTCTTTATTATAAGTTCATAGAATTTCTATCAATAAAAGTTTAGAGTGTTTACTCGTGTTCCATTGAACATTTTGTGCAATCATTATTTTGAGGAGTCGAGGAGGGTTCACGTGTCTCTTATCAACTGGAAAGTAGAACCAAATCTAGTCGTGGCGAGCATCTACTAAATAGCGATTGGCCTTTTTCACGAGTTGGTGATTGTTGGATTGGTTCAATATACCGGCCCTTGAAACGAGATGGAATCTATTTGATCGTGTTCCACCTTATCATTTACTTCAAGTTGTTCGAGTTAAGAGAAGAAACCTTCAAAAATCCCACAAAAGAGTGAAAGCTGCGTATTTTGGTCATATTAAGTGGTATCAGAGACGAGTTCAAACTCAACGGAAAAAAGAAGAGACCGTTTCAAACTCAATTGAGAGATTAGGAACATTGTGGAAATCCAACCCTTTGTGGAGTTGGACGATTTGGTATCCATGGATGCAGAGGTGGAGAGGCAACAAAGAAGCAACCTTAGTAGACAATATCTACCTCCCTCAAGTGCACCAAGGCCAATAGTGCCTACTACTTTAAACCCTAGGCCAGCTCTACGAAGTTAGAATGTCAGAAAGACATTTAATTGGAATTTCTATTATTATATTAGGTAGGATAATTATAATTATGGTTAGTAGAGATTTAGTCGTATTAGGATTATTATTAGGGTTCCCAGTATTTCCCTATAAATATGTACTTTGGGTTTACGTCATAATCAATCAAGAAGAATATTAAGCAAGTATCTCTCCTAAACCCTAATCTCTCTCAACTCCTAATTTCTATTCTCTCCTAATCCAAGGTCTCGACCGATTCCCAATTCTATTATGTTCTTTCTCATCTAAATCCCTAATCTCAACCCTAAATCCCCATCTCACGGGTGCCGAAGATCAGTATCGAGAATCCCTAGAAGCGGGGTTCTCACAGTGGTATCAGAGCCCGGTTGTGGCACTCGTACCATAGTTTCGGCCAACTTCGAGCTCTCAGTCAAAGAACTCACAAAGCTTTTGAAGTTGAAGCTGGAAGAGGTGAGGAGGAAAGAGGTGACCTCGTCCTTACCGTTGTCCGGGAACATCGCGCGGGCAGCTCACCCAAAGCCGCAAATGTCGTGTCGAAGGAGCCGATGAGGGAAGACTCACCATCATTGTCGAAGGTCGCAGCTGTAGAAATATATTTCGAAGATTGGTTGGAGCTCCCAGCCCAGCCGACGTTGACGCTAATCTCGGGAGCAAGCCGGGAGCCACCAGCCACGAAAGAGGGTCCAACTCCACCAATGGTGGTGGAAGGAGAAGGCCGGACGACCGAGAGCTCCGCCAAAGAAGAGCGAGTTGTCAAAGGTATTGAACATTCGAAAATTTCGGAGATCACCACTACGCTCTCATCTCCAAAAGAGGAAACTCTAATGGCGGCAAGGGGTAACCAAACATCAAAGTCCCGTTCGAGAACAGGGTTCGTTGCGGTGGAAGAAGACGGATGGTGTGGAGGAAAGGGTAACGCGTGGTCTTGCCATGAATTGGCAATTCCACAAGAAGAGGGGCACAAGAGCACCTCTCCCAGCGAATGGCGATGCAGCGGGGAAGGCCCAGAACTCGGGGACCAGGAGTTCGCAGATCTACTTGACGAGGGAGCTAATAGAAACCCAATTTTCGGTTTTATTCATAATTATCATAATTACTATAATTAGGATATTATTATATATGGTTAGTAGTATTTGAGTCATAATAGGATAGTCTATTAGGTTTTCCCGGTCTTAGGCTATAAATATGTATTCTAGGTCTTTTGTTCAACTAAGCAGACATTAATAGAAAAGTAATCTTTCCCCAAATCCCTAATTTTCTCCTCTCAATCTCGTATTCACCTCAACCTAGGCCGCCAGCCATTCTACTCTTTCTTCCCCAAATTCTATTCTAAATCCCTAAATCTCAATCAATTCCCAAATTCTCAGTCCAACCGATAGAACCCTAGAAATAGGTTTCTATCATCTGGTATCAGAGCCTGGTTCCGAGATTGAGTTCGTCACAACTCTGAACTAGGGACGATTGCACCATAATGAGCTTGTTACAGTTCTTCGATGGCGAGTGGTACCGACTACAAGCGTTGCTGGAGCAGACCTTGGAACGCCGTAATCAAGAGGCATGGATGAGGGCGGCGAAGCGGGAGGAGGCGGCTAGGAAGTTGCTGCCGCAAGGCCTAGCTATCGGTGCCACTTCCACATCAGCAACCACTATCATTGGGGCGCCATCATCCTCACCATCATCACGAGCCGTTTCTCTTCCCGTCAAAGCCGCTGTCGAGATCCTCGAACAACAGCAGCCTGTGGTGATCACCGCCGAGCTGTCGAGGAAGGAAGCGCCACCGCTGCCCGTCATGGCTGATGAGGTCGTGATGACCACCATGATGGAAGTCGCTACAGGCTTGCTCAAGGAGGAGCAGGGTAAAGCAGCAAGTACGACGGTCCCTGAGGTGTTCGAAGAAAAAGAAGGTCCGGTTGGAGAGATCCTTGTCGACCGGCAACAACCTCGGACACCCCTTCGAATCGCCTCACGATCACCACCAATCTCTTGACCGCTACGAACGGGAAAAGCGGGAGAGGGCGAAGAGTGCGGCGACGGCTGAAAGCTCGATGACAGCTAAGACGGTTGCGGCTGCGGACGACAAAGAAGCATCGGCGGAGACCTCGACTCTGGTTGCGTGCACTCGTACTAAATCCATGTCAAAATTTGAAGATCTCTCACTAAGAGAACTTACGAGGGTTTTAAAGTCGAAGTTGGAAGAGGTGACAAAGGACGATGAGACGGCTTCACCATCGACTGCCGCAGTCATGCAATCCAAGGAGATAGTCTCGCTCGCGGTAATCTCCGAGGAGGTGATGTTCCTTGGTGCCGTCGACCCACCAGCACTCCTCGATAAAGACACCCGGGCGGTGGAGATCTCCAACGAACTATCGCAGTTTCAGGTGGCTGCAACAAAGCCTTCCATGACTGCGACACCACCGGCGCGATCATCACTACCTGTTCCTCTTGATGATCACCACCAAACTATTGAGAAAAGAAGAGCCATTGCTGATGCTCGAAACCGCCATTGCTGTTATCACCCCACCACCATTGTCAAAGGCCACAGTCGTACTCGAGGCATTGCCAATCAATTCGGCGAAAGGTGAGGGGAAAAGCTACCTCGAATCATCTGGAAACAGAGGTTCACAGGAACTGGTGCGAGCGAAAATGGATTTGGAAGAATGGATGGAACAATCAATGTTCACAATCCAATCGGTTGTTTCCTGGAAGTTCAAGAAGAAGATACAAGAGGCCAGAGATGGGTCTGGCTGTGCGAAACCGACGGAGAGGGAGGAGAGGAAGCTGTCGTCGGAGCTGCGTATGGTGAGGCCGGAGTCGTTCGTGGCGCCGTCAACCGCTGGAAAGAAGAGGCCGAAGTTGAAGGTGCGGCGTCCGGCGAATAGCCTGAAGAGGGAGGACGGCGGCGCTGAGCTTCCTCGGCTGTCGACGGAGACGGAAAGGAAGGACGTCGACGTGGCTTGGCTGCTGCTGAAGGGGAAGAGGAAGGTGTCGCTGGGGATGGAGACAAGCGGCGCCTCTCTCCTTGAGATCCCTAGGTCGCCAACGCGGAGGCTGAAGCTGCAGCAGGGGGAGCCAGGTCCATTGGGCCTAAATAGTTGGGTCGTTTCTCTTAATGAGCCTGGTCGAGTGAGCCGATTCAAAGAGGACCAGGCTGATCACAAGCAACTAGACGGGTTCACTGCTTTGGGCCGAGGAGAAATACACGAGCAGCCCTTTCGCTCGGGCCGAGCAAGCCTTGGTCGCCGACTGGCCAGGATGACGAGGTCGGTTACCAGCAGCTGGAACCGGTTGAATGGGCCGCCATCTGGAGTGGATCGGGCTGCAAAGAGGGTTGGTCACAGGCCGAGCCAAGCAAAATTCCATGGGTTTCAAGGGAGAGATGACCCGAAACGTGGAGAGTGGCTTAAGCTTCAATTGGGTTATCTTTTGAAGAAGTTTGGTTGGGAGAATAAAGAAAGTGGGCTGATACAACAAGTTCGGATTGGGCTTCCGTTGGTCTGTTTGGTTCACTCCCTTTCACATGCTGTAAAGAAGAAGGACGAGGGATTTGGAAACTTAGCTTGTGGGCTTTCAGGGGAGTATGGCCCAGAAGATATTAAAGATCCAATAACACAATTTAATGGTCTAAACCCTCCAAAGAGTCTTAAGGGCCTCGCTCAGTTGGTTATTAAAAATAGATTCTTATACCAAGAAGTATCTTGGAATTCTTTAAGTTCATGGAGGGTGATGCAAAAGAAAGTGGAGTTATCGAAAATGAGATTGCTCGAGGAAGGGAGGATTGGATCCTCTATCGTGGCATCAACAAATTCATTTCAACTCCAGAAGATCATGGAAGGAAGTCCAAGTCGAGTACTGGGGCATGATTGGAAGAAGCGAAAGCGTAAGCATTGGAGAAGTGAAGGCACAATTACATGGACGACGTGGGAAAGCGGGTAGAGTCTTTCAACCTTGAGGGCAAGGTTGGTCTCAAGGGGGAGGGGATGATAGAAACCTAATTTCCGGGTTATTCCATAATTATCATCGTTACTATAATTAGGATATTATTAGATATGGTTAGTAGTTATTGAGTTATATTAGGATAGTCTATTAGGTTTTCCAGTCTTTCGTTATAAATATGTACTTTGCGTTTTATTAGGAACAATCAAGAAAGAATTATCAAAGTATCCCTCTCAACCCTAATCTCTCCTAATCCTCTCAAACTCTCTTCTCCTCCTAATCTGGCCGCCGGCCATTCTGTTCTTGTTCTTCCCCAATTCTATTCGTGATCCCCAAATTCTCTTCTAAATCCCTAAATCTCCATCAATTCCCGAATTCCCAATCCTATCGATAGAACCCTAGAAGAAAGAACCCTCTTGTTAAGGATTCTAGAGACTGATCTTCGGCACCCGTAATTATCGTAACAATTAGGGATTTAGATGAGAATTGAGGATTAGGGATTGAAGAACAGAATTGGGGTTGAGATAGAAGAATGGTCGGCGGCCTTTAGGGAAGAGAGGGACGAGATTTGAGAGGGATTAGAGACTAGGGTTTGAGAGATACTTTCTGTAATATTATTCTTGACTGATTATGATGTAAACCCAAAGTACATATATATAGGAAATACTGGAAAACCCTAACGAATAACCTAATTGGACTAAATCTCTAATAACCATAATAATAATTATCCTACCTAATATAATAATAAAACTCCAAACAAATGTGTTTCTCACAATCCATCCCCCTTGAGAACAACCTTGACCTCAAGGTTGTAGTTGACTTCTACCTCTTTGACCTTCCGCTTTCTTCGTTTCCAATTGCGCTCGACCCCTTGAATAAACTCTTCTCGAACCAGTCCAACTATCATTGACTCTCTTCTACCCACGTGACATGTGTCACGTTCTTCATAGCTGAATAATTCGCCCTCTTCCATTTCGAAATCCACGAAATAAGAATCGGAGAATTTTTCTTCCTTGAGCTCATTCTCATAAATCGCCTCGAAAGCTTCAATGGACTGCTCTATTGATTCCGCCATGGACTTGGTGGTGAAGATAAATTATTTTGGGCTCCATCCTTCTCCAAAGTGGTCTGGATTAAGTTTACTTGAAAGCCCAATAGCTAATCCTTGAAACCCATCTTTCTTTTCCTTCATTATTGGTTCCTGCAAAATAAACCCAACAGGAGAGCTCATTGGTGGCCCAAGCTTTCTTTGGAAACTCGGCCCACTTCCTTTTATCAAGAGGCAAGGGACGAACTGGGCTTCTCCCCCTATTGCCAGCCCACACGGTTGGCCCAACAGAGCTCGACCCATCGAGAACCCATGCTCTTTCTTATTACTTCCCAGCCCATCATAAAAACACTCCACTCCTCTTAGCCCGTTAGAGCTGTTGGTATTTTTCATATTCAGCTCGGCCCAACTTGCTTATGTCTTTAGTCAACTCAAGCCCAACTGAACTCGGCCCACGAACTCAACCCCACCAAAAACAGGCCTGATACTCAACTTTGGCCCATAAGGACTTGCTGCCTGGTAAGCAGAACGACCCAAACAGACTGGCCCTTCCTCTGGCGGCCGACTTAGGGTTGCTGGAGGAGAAAAAACGCTGCCTTCCATCCTCCTCGCAACTTCTTTTCCCGGCGGCGAGCAACCCGATCGAATGCATGGTGGCCAGCCTGAAGTCGGCGAGTAGCCCATCCCGCGGCGACTCGGCAAGCTCGACCCGATGATAACCGCCCTCGCCTTCGTCTCTTCGTCCGCAACCGGTCCCGAGCGGTGCAACGCCGACTTCTCGGTCATCGTCTTCAGCTCCTCTTCCTCGTCCGACCTCACCCGGAACAGAATCCCGTTCGTTGTCGCTGCGTCTGGGTTCGCCGTAATCCACGACACCCTCCGCGCGATTCGCGCCGCAGGAGTAGAACCCCGGCAGACCTGCTCCGCGTCTTTCTCCGGCCGCGCGCTGCTCAACAGGCGCCGGGGAAGGCATATCGGCCCAGCGACCTCTCCCTTTGATTCCGCGCCGTTGTCTAGTGGAGAACCTACTCGCAATGATGGTGAGGTCACAAGGACGACAGTCACTGCTGCCGCTGCCTTCTCGATCGACGCGGCTGGCTTCTCCGTTGTCGCCATCATCCCAAGTGGCTTGTTCCCACTTTGTTCGAGCTCGGTTGGGAATGCTGGTTGTTCCAGCCACTCTTCAAAATCCGTTTCTGCGACCATCGGTTCGATTACGGTTGCGATTGGAGGTGGGATTGGACTCATCTCCACTCTCGCAGCCTCCAACTTCATTCTAAGAACCATGGTGAGTTCTTTAATTGAGGGAACTTCGGATCTCGACATGATTCTGGAACGAGTGCCTACAACCGGGCTCTGATACCACTGAAAGAACCCTCTTGTTAAGGATTCTAGAGACTGATCTTCGGCACCCGTAATTATCGTAACAATTAGGGATTTAGGGATTTTAGATGAGAATTGAGTTCGTCACAACTCTGAACTAGGGACGATTGCACCATAATGAGCTTGTTACAGTTCTTCGATGCCGAGTGGTACCGACTACAAGCGTTGCTGGAGCAGACCTTGGAACGCCGTAATCAAGAGGCATGGATGAGGGCGGCGAAGCGGGAGGAGGCGGCTAGGAAGTTGCTGCCGCAAGGCCTAGCTATCGGTGCCACTTCCACATCAGCAACCACTATCATTGGGGCACCATCATCCTCACCATCATCACGAGCCGTTGCTCTTCCCTTTTAAGCCGCTGTCGAGGTCCTCGAACAACAGTAGCCTGTGGTGATCACCGCCGAGCTGTCGAGGAAGGAAGCGCCACCGCTGCCCGTCATGGCTGATGAGGTCGTGATGACCACCATGATGGAAGTCGCTACATGCTTGCTCAAGGAGGAGCAGGGTAAAGCAGCAAGGATGACGGTCCCTGAGGTGTTCGAAGAAAAAGAAGGTCTGGTTGGAGAGATCCTTGTCGACCGACAGCAACCTCGGACACCCCTTCAAATCGCCTCACGATCACCACCAACCTCCGATGTTGCCCCAACATCAGTCCAGGTTGCTTCCATATCAACGCCAGTCCAATTGAATCCTCCAATCGACTGGTGGAAGTTCAGAAAGAAGCAGCAAGGCCCTAGAGATGGATTTGATGGTGAGCAAAAGGCTCATGGGAAGGCACCCCTGACAGAGGGCGAAGAAGTAGAAAGGTTGGTGAGGCAATCCGAGTCAGTCCTTGACAAAGAAGCTGCCAGGAGTAAGCTCCACATTCTCCCTCGACCAGAACGACCAAGATTCAGGAGAACGAAAGTTCGGGAACATGCTTTAAGATGGCGAATCTTGGCTGCAACACTGATCGAAGACCCGAGATGGAAGTGGCGACTGGCCGAGGGATTGGTCAGTCGGAATCGCGAACCCAGCTTCTAGGGCAAAGACCATCGTCGACTCCACTCGTGCTGGCGAAGTCGGACGGAATGACAAGGCTGCAGACGGTGACGATGGAGCCGAAGAAAGGGGCAACGACGGCTGGGGCGACCACATCCTGTTCATCGAAGAGGAAGTTGTCGAAGATTGAGCGCGGCGTCGGCTTCATCCGACGACGAGAAGCAGAAGCGGAGCCTGAGACGCGGAAGGAGACGAGCGGCTCTCCGGGTCGCGGGTTGAGCGGGTCGATGCCGGAGATCGGGGCGAAGAGAGCTTCGGCGGAGAAGAAGACGAACGGGATGGAGATGCGGCTGGGAGCGCTCTTGAATCCGTTTCGTTGGCTGGGTGGTACGTCGCCGAGAAAGGAAACGCCGGGAGAAGAGCCACTGTCGGGGGAAGAAGCTCCGCATCGTCAGCTGAGCGGTTCGCCGCCGAGAGAGGAGGCGTCGGAGAGATCGCCATTGGAGAAGAAGCAGGGCGGTGGTGGCGGCGATTCCCATCCTCCAGTAACCCTAGGCCGCACCTCCAAGCGGCCAAAACAAATGGGCCGAGAGGTGGTTCGGGTCGCAGGGTTGGTTGAGCCAAGGTGTTTGGGCCGCAGACTGGAAAAGGAAAGCAGACCAGCTGGGTTCATCTTGGGCTGGATCACTTGGGTCATTGGTCTAGTTGAGTTAGAAGAAAGCAGGCCGATTCAAGAGGGAGCTGGGCCACGAATTTACTCTTTATTTGGATCGGTTTTGCAGGAAAGAATAAAGGCCCACATGGCTTGTGTTTTGAAGAAAATGGGCTCCATGGCTGTGAATGACAATTCTTTTAGGTTAGTAGATGGACTTTTGGAAGAGCACGACCCAACAATATGTGGAGAAACAACAAAGCCACGTAATGGGTCAGCTCCGAGAAAAATGTTTGAAGGTCTTGATGAATTGGTACTTAAGGATGGATTCTTAAAAGCATCTTTCAATTGCTTAAGTTATTTGAGGGTGAAGTCAACGACAAAGGAGCCATCTCAATTTGAGTTTGTCAAGGAAGCAAAGAGTGTTCCCATGAAAATGAAGTTTGAAGGGATGGACCAACACAGGAAGATTGATGCAAGAAGCTCAAGTCGAGTAGTGGCGCATGATTGGAAGAAAAGGAAGCGCAAGAAGTGGAGGAGACAACACACGATCTACACGGGAGATAGGTTGAAAAAATGGGTCGAGTCGGTCAACCTTGAGGACAAGGTTGGTTTGAAGAGGGAAGGGATGATAGAAACCCAATTTCCGGTTTTATTCATAATTATCATAATTACTATAATTAGGATATTATTATATATGGTTAGTAGTATTTGAGTCATAATAGGATAGTCTATTAGGTTTTCCTGGTCTTAGGCTATAAATATGTATTCTAGGTCTTTTGTTCAACTAAGCAGAAATTAACAGAAAAGTCATCCTTCCACAAAACCCTAATCTCTTCTTTCTCAAATCTCGTCTATCCTTCTCTCTAGAGGCTTCGGACGTTCTTTCTGTTCGTCCCCAATTCTGTTCCTAATTCTCTTCTAAATCTCTAAATCTCTACCAATTCCCAATTTTCCAACCTATCCGATAGAACCCTAGAAATAGGTTTCTATCATCTAGTATCACCTCAAACTGGTGATAGAAACCTAATTTCCATTATGGTGCAATCGTATTCACCTCAACCTAGGTTCGTATTCATCTCAATCTAGGCCGCCGGCCATTCTACTCTTTCTTCCCCAAATTCTATTCTAAATCCCTAAATCTCAATCAATTCCCAAATTCTCAGTCCAACCGATAGAACCCTAGAAATAGGTTTCTATCAGGAGCCTTGCAACAGTAGCCATAATCGCTATGAGACAACAAAGGCATCAGGTCGCCAGGTTGACTCGCGGCAGTCACGAATCGCGCCAGGGAAGCAACGATTGACGGCATCGTATATTGGGTCGTCAACCGGAGAGGACGTGCCGTCGAAGACGGCGTTGGGAGTAGGCGAATCTGGTTGCCGACGAGGAATGATGAGAGTGAGGGCGGTGACTTTGCTCTTTCTCCTGAATCGACGATCGGCGACGTGATGAGGCTGGAGATGAGAAGTGCGACATGGGAGCTCCCTCCGAGCCGTCTGATGATCTCGTCGCCGGAGACCAAGGCAAAGAGAGCACAGTCGGAGGAGGAGGCGACGAAGAGCTCGACGCCGCGGGTTGAGCCGGAGAATGAGAGGAAGGAGATGTCGATCGACGCAGAGGCGAAGCTGAATGCGGCGGCGCGGTTGACGGAAGCTTCCTTAGCGGCGTTGATCAACGAGGAGGCGACCTCAAAGAAGAATACTCCGCAGGGAACAAGACGGAGTGGAAGGCGCCAGTGGATTCGCGCTGGCCACCGTGCCGTCGGATAGGTGGTTCGCCGCCGAGAGAGGAGGCGTCGGTGAGAGCGCCGCTGGAGAAGAAGCAGGGAGGCAGCGGTTCTCGCTGTCCATCAACCCTAGGCCGCCGAAGGTTGGGCCATGGGTTAACTCGTGAGGGTAATCCCACTGGGTTTGGGTTGGGTCGAGAAGAGCAGCGGCGTGGACCAAGGGGTGAGTCGAGTTGGGCCTCGCATGAACTTATTAGCGGGCCGCCCATGTGCTACATTTTGAAGAAGGGAAATGAGTATATTCGGTGGGCAAGTAGGCTTTTAAAAGAATCAAGCCCATCCGAGTTGGCAGACAAGTGGAGTATGGAGATGCTTGACTTTGGGTTGGACCACATTTCTTTCTTCCAATCAAATGTGGGCTTAGTCCAAGGTGAAGGAAGATTGGGCGGGGAAAACTTATGGGTTGTTTTCACCAACAAGTCCATAGAGGAATTTATAGAGCATTTCATTGAAGATCTCAAGGTGGGTAATGATGATGGGCAAAATGAAGAACAATTCTCTTATTCTTATTTCGTTGATTTCGAAAAGGAAGAGGGCGGATTATTCGGCTATGAAGAACATAACACATGTCACGTGGATGGAGAAGAGACAAGGAAAGTGGGAGTTGCGCGAGAAAAGTTCATTCAAGGGATCGAGCGCAATTGGAAACGAAGAAAACGGAAGGTCAAGGAGGTAGAAGTCAACTACAACCTTGAGGTCAAGGTTGTTTTCAAGGGGGATGGATTGTCAGAAACACATTTAATTGGGGTTTCTATTATTATATTAGAAAGGATTATTATAATTATGGTTAGTAGAGATTTAGTCGTATTAGGATTATTATTAGGGTTCCTAGTATTTCCCTATAAATATGTACTTTGGGTTTACGTCATAATCAATCAAGAAGAATATTAAGCAAGTATCTCTCCTAAACCCTAATCTCTCTCAACTCCTAATTTCTATTCTCTCCTAATCCAAGGTCTCGACCGATTCCCAGTTCTATTCTGTTCTTTCTCATCTAAATCCCTAATCTCAACCCTAAATCCCAATCTCACGGGTGCCGAAGATCAGTATCGAGAATCCCTAGAAGCGGGGTTCTCACATAGAATCACCAAAACCTATGGCCAAGGTTGAAGCTCCAAAGGAAAGGCAAGCAAGTTCAAGTGGAGGCATTCAATGCTATAAATGTTATGGAAGAGGGCACATTGTGAGCCAATTTCCATTAGGAGAGCATTAATTCTCTTCGATAATGGGGAGTATGTCTCTAACTCTGAAGAAGAAGAACACGCGGGAAAAGAGACTCCTAATTCGGAAAGTCTACTTGTTACTAGGAGGATTCTAAGTGTGCAACCCAAGGAAGAGCTTGAGCAAAGGGAGAACTTTTTCCATACAAGATGTTTGGTGGATGGAAAGTTACTCTCTACGGTGATTGATGGTGGGAGTTGCACCAATGTGATAAGTTTGAGTGCACTGAAGAAGCTAGGGCTTACTACATTAAAGCATCTGAAGCCTTACAATCTTCAATGGTTCAATCAAAGATTCGAGGCAAGCATTGCTGAAATCAAAGATTGGAGGATATAAGGACGAGGTCCTATGTAGCGTGGTAACAATGCAAGCATCCCACGTCCTACTTGAAAGCCATGGCAATTTGATCAAAGTGCACAACATGACTGAGTCACCAACAAGTACAAGTTGTTGCACAAAGGTCAAAAGTTCGTATTGAAGCTCCTATCTCCCAATGAAGTCTATGAAGACCAACTTCAAATGCAATGAAATCAGGAGAAGGAGTCTAGATCCACGATCAAGATGGGGCAAGGCGGATCGAGTGTTGTGGAATCCATTCATTGATGATAGCACATAATGGAGATGTTAAGCAAGAAGTTAATGATCGTGAACCCATGATCATGATCATATACAAAGGAGTTCTACTCAATTAAGAGTTGATTCAAGACATAGCATATAGGGCACAAATAGTATTGGAAGAATTTGATGATGTCTTTCCCGAGGAATCTCCAAAAGCCTACCTCCAATCTGAGGGATAAAACATCAAATTGATTTCGTTCATGGAGCTACAATTCCAAATAAAGCGGCCTATAGGATTAATCCAGAGGAGACGAAGGAGTTGTAGAGGCATATTGATGAGATTTTGGAGAAAGGACATGTTCCTGAGAGCAACAGTCCTTGTGCGGTTCCTGTCATCCTCGTGCCAAAGAAGTCTCATACATGGAGGATGTCTGTTGATTGTAGAGCATTCAACCAAATCACAGTTAAGTATGGACATCCTATACCTCGTTTAGATAATATGCTTTGAATTATATGGTTCTAGCATGTTTTTTAACATTGATTTGAGGTCAGGGTATCACTAAATTCATTTGAAGGAAGGAGATGAATAGAAGACTGCTTTTAAGACGAAGCATGGTCAATACGAGTGGATGGTGATGCCTTTTGGGTTGACTAATGCTCTGAGTACATTTATGAGTTTGATGAATCACGTGTTGAGATATTTTATTGAGAAGTTTGTGGTTGTCTACTTTGATGATATTCTGATCTACTCAAAGAGCATGGAGGAACATCTTGATCATCTACGAGATGCATTGAAGACCTTGAGGAAGGAGCAACTTTGTGCCAATCTTAAGAAGTGCATGTTTTCTATCTCAAGCGTGGTATTTTGCGATGTGTAGTCATTGCGAATGGAGTTCAAATTGATGTTGAGAAGGCGATCGCTTGCATGATCGAGTTTTAAATTTATAAGTCGATGCACTCTCTATTCAATCCTAACTAAGCCAAGCATAATTTAGCTAGGACTGTAGTAAAGTGGATCGGTCGTATTCCAAGAGAACCCTAAGCTTACTATTAATTCACTCTGAACTACTATCTATCGAATCGGAAGTTTGGTGAAGAATCTAACCTAACCTACTCCTAAAGGTAAATAAACAACAAACCAAGGGGTTGGGAGACCGCTAGAAATGAGATGGTTGCCTAGGGTTAAATCCTTCTAGCTATGGTTGTCATGTTGGGTTAAGCGAATGTGGTGAGTGATCTCTTTTCCATGGGTCTTGTGATTATCCACACGCCTCCGACTACGTCCTAGCTACTCCATTGTCACCTCGGCGTAGGTTGTAACACCCCGACTTTTAGATTCAGGTTCGACCATAATTAATAAACGGTTACGTGCGAAGTGTCGCAACTGTGGATTAAGAATAATAATATAATAACTATTTGTTATTATATTATTATTATTATTATTAAAAAAAAACTAATGATTAATGGGGGTTAGAGGGCCGAGCGAGCCTCAGTTTCCCCAAATCCCTTGTATTTTCCCCAATGTTGTCAAAACCGAACCGTAGTATGAACCGATATAGTGAGCGGCTCGCACTTTATTGGTTTAATCGGTATTTGACCGTTAAAAAAACGTTAATGAACCGATACCTTGTGAACAAGAATATTATAAAGTGCTAAACACATAAAAATACACCGTAAATTCAATATAGTATTCATTACTATTAAATAAATTTCAAACACTATTATTAAATTAATATAAGAAAAGATAATAAAAAATGCCAACACTATGGAAAGAAATCTGATTTGTCCATATAACAAGCCAAACTAAAATAAAATAAGATAATAAAAAATTCCAACCGAGAGGCACATATAAAACCTAATTTCCCTAATTTCCCGAGGGATTGAATTTATTTATTTTTTAATATAAAACCTAATCCTAGCTAAAAGAATAGTGCGCGCAATGCGCACAAAAAAACAGGTGAAAAGCCTCTTTTCCGGGAAACGAGGGGACAACTCGCCATTGGACGTCGTGCTAATTTCTTAATAATGGACTGGAAAGTTAAGAACCGGCTGACCGGGTTGAACGATTTTGATGGTTAACCATTCAAATCGTTAACCGGCCGGTCAGTTCAACTGTTGTGGTTTTGTAAGTGTGCCAAGCTTGACCAGTGGCCGGGTCCCGGTTATATCGGTCCGAACGATCGGTTAGGCTTGGCTTTGATAACACTGATTTTCCCCTAAATCTCGCGAGGCCCCATTATTGTTTTCCCCAGCAAGCCTTCCCCACATCGGTGCTTTAAGAAGATAAAGAAGAGGAAAAAAAGAACAACGCACGTAGCACTGCCCCACTTCCCTCCTCGGTCTTGCGCAGCACCGGCGGGATCGAGCTAGCCTTGTTTTTTCCAATCTTTCAAAAGGTAAAGGGCGATAATCCCAAATAGTTTCCAATTTTTTTGATCAATCAAACTAACCTAGACCCATCAATCTTGAACCATAGCGTAACAACTAGGAGATTGGAGTTTAATCGGTGACTGATCAAGGAAAATCGACGCCCTAATCATCAAGTTTAAGCCTAAGCACGTTCTAGAGGTAAGGAAACTCGATCCCTTGAATTAGATTGGTGGTTTTGGTGATTTTGCATGAGGGTGAAATTCTGGGTTTTTAGTGACAGATTTTGGGTGGTCACTAAAGCTGCAAGGAATTCGCAGAAACGTGTTTTAAGATGTGTAAATTGTTTCGAGTCTGTGCAGGTGGTTTTTTCTGAGGTTAACTATTTCATAAATTGAAGGAGGTCTAAGAGATGCTTGTGATTTAATTTGGGGATTTTTGAAGATGAATTACTATTTTTAGAAATTGGCCGATTGATTTTTTAATTAAATAAAAATCATTCCGAGGTGTTTTTTAGGGTTTGATAATTTTCCAGGATATCGGTTCTCATGATCGACTTGTGAAAAATTAATCCAAGATAAAATTAATGAGGAAAAAGCGTCGGTTTTTTAAGGGATTATTTCTAGAAAATTTTTAAAGGAGGTTAAGGGATCTTTGGTGAGAGTTCGAGGACGAGACTTTTAGAAGAGGGTGTTCCGGTATATAAAAAGGAGTTTTAAATTGAGACAGGTCGTCTAAGAAAATGAACTTCTTATTAATAGGTTTCCCGAGTAAATTCAGCTCAGGAGAGATTTTTTTAGAGTAAGGAAGGAGGAGTCATCTTTTCAAGGTGAGTGTAAAGGGGATAAAATCTCAGTCGATGTCTTTTAGTTTATGCATTTACTTTTAGTAGTTTCATTAATTTTTGAGTTATGTGCGATTATGTGTGTGAGGCATCCCACCGCCTACTTAAGGTGGAAGCACGCGTTGTGCTATGTATGTGAATGTATGTTGAAATGTATGGTTATTGGTAAGATGAACCCCTGAGAGGTTGGGCCACTACTGGACGCGGTAGATGGTCGGGTCACTGCTGGACGGCGATACGTAACGCAACAGTTGATCGGGAATTTTGGGTCACTAGTGGACGACGATACATGACGCAGTAGTTGACCAGGCATGGGTTGGACGGTGATACGTAACGCAAACCATTGCCTTGAGTGTATGGACACTAGACGACGATAGGTAACGCGGTGGACCCTAGTTTTAGGTGAATAAGTTAAGATAGAAGTTTTGAGCTTTCATAGGATATTAAGGAGTAAAGTACTCAGAATGAAAGCGAGAACGAATTTCATGTAAGATAAATTTTTTCTAATAGCACAATAGGTTGCCAAGCACACACAATGCACAATCACCATGAAAAATACCTCAAATCTTAAATTAAACACCACTCACACACAATCATTCAATCCACACAATCAACTACATGGTAGAAGTTAGGGTTCTACAACACCCACGTGAAAATGAGACTACTCCACGCTAGAAAAAGGAAGAACACAAAGGAATAAGGAAAAAACAATCATTGTGATCCTCAATCCTTCCTTGTGCTTGTAGAGATCCTCTCTTGAAGAGGAACTTCCCAAATCTTGACTTGGAGCAAACCCTAGCCTCTTCACCCTCTTGGTTCGTGGCTTTCTCTCTCTAGGTGTTCAAAAAGAAGAAGGTTTCTCTCACTTTGGGATCCCCTCTTCTTCCTCCTTTCAGCTCTCCTTTTATACACAGGTCGCGCCCAGTTCATGGTCCCAGGTCACGGTCGTGAACTAATGGCAGGGACCGTGAACTCAGTCGAAAATGCACCGCTTCACTTAACTGGTTTGCGGTCCACGACTACCTTAACCTCTAAAAACTCTCTAGAACTTCGGCAGTTCACGGTTTGTGGCTCTAGTTCACGATCCTGATGACCGTGAACCCACTGCTTTGACCTTGAACTGCGGCTGCTACCTCCTCTTTGCCCGATCCTCGCATCTTTTCTTCCAACTTTCGACTCTCGGGTTGGTTCCACCTGTTAGACTCTGAAACACATTGAAACACAGCAAACCTAGCGTAAAACCATACTTTTGGAGCTCAAATGCCATAAACGCCAAAGACAAATGGGGATTAAAAGTGTACATTTAGGCCCGAATCACTCCCCCACACTTAAATGTTTGCTTGTCCCCAAGAAAACCATTTAACACAATGTAATATCTCAACCTAAACAAAATAATTTGGGGACAACTCAAAGGGAACAAAGTGGGGTATCTCAATGGATATTGGTAGTTAATACATGGATTGTTGCAAGCGATACCGGCATCCACCACAAACGACATTCGAGGACACCAAAACGGGCAAACGAAAAGTTCTCACCTTGTTCATGAATCAATGCAAGTCTCAACCAGATCACTCATCAACCACAACTAACCATGCATAACATTCAAGTCAAAGGAATAAACAAATGGGCAACAAAGGTCCTCAACGGGGGTATGATATGACATGCAAAGCAAGAATGAATCACTCACTCTCTTGACCAATGGGTTCGGGACCATTTGGTGTAAAAAATGTGCACAATCTTCAACACTCGGCCCTATCGTCTCTTCACCACGGTGGCAACCTCTAAATGCTATAGTTAACAGGACGGTTGTCATCACTAGCTTGTCCGGAGGTCTTAGACACGAGTTCAAATGACTAGCAATTATTTTGGACATAGGGAAAATGCCTTTTGGGTGGTGGCAAACACAACATGAGGTCCTACATCTTCCCCTTAAAACCGAAGGTTCTATTGCTTCGACTAAGAACTTTCCCTACACACAACGGCCACTAGCATTGGCCAAAAGCCTTATTTTCTTCCAAACTATCACTCATCACGAACTACATTCAAGCAAACTTCCTCGGCCTATTATTGCTGTCACATTTCAAACATAGTAGTGAAGGAGTTCAACAACAATTTCAGTGTTTCAATGATTTGAGTGCCAAGAAATCCTTCCTAGAGCACCCGAGTGATCCTTCTCATCTAGAGCTTTCAAACCATTTACCTTTGCTTTGTTTTAATTTAAACCTCATAGTTTTCAACCAAAAACCAATCCGCTAGATAATGTTTCAAACAATAGAGGTAGGGGTACATGGACCGGCCCGAGTTGATATTTAAACATACTTTCCCTATATTGCACCCATCTAAGGTTTATACTTAGGCCTTAGGTGGGATTTTGTTGTGATATTCGAGACGAGTCAGTAAACAAACAACAAATCCGTGGGTATTTAACCAAAAATAATACTTGGGCTAAGGGTCAAGTTGGTATTTTACTTACGTGTTCTGGTAGATAAAAATGGGTTTTAAATAAAGACATGTCGTCTAAGAAAATGAACTTCTTATTAATAGGTTTCCCGAGTAAATTCGGCTAATGAGGAATTTCTTCGAGTAAGGAATTAGTTTTGGGTGTTGGACTCTCTTTGGTCTTTATCTAGTTTTCGAACTGGTCCCGAACGTTTTCTTACCTCAAATCTAAGATCGAAGATGGGATTGGACTGTTTGCTATCCGGTCCCGGTCTGGTCTCAGTACGGGTTATACGGTTCGGTTTTGGGTAAAACCAAAAAACCAGGACCAAATAGCCAACCCTATAAGGAATCGAGGAGTCATCTTTTCAAGGTAAGTGTGAAAGGGGTAAAATCTCAGTTGATGTCTTTTAGTTAATGCATTTACTTATAGTAGTTTTGTTAATTTTTTAGTTATGCGCGATTATGTGTGTGAGGCATCCCACCGCCTACTTAAGGTGGAGGCACGCGTTGTGCTATATATGTGAATGTATGTTGAAATGTATGTTTATTGGTAAGATGAACCCCCAAGATCGAGATTTTCTAAAGAACAGATCAAGATCCATCACCGGCGACTAGTGCGTTTTCTTCGACAAGAACAAAATTCTTCGACCAGTGTATTTTTTGTGAGTAGGATATAAATTCATACCAAATCCTGTTGCATGCTCCTCCTCTTATACGAATTCGTGTGCTTCTGAAGACTGACATATTAAGGCGGAAATTTTTGAATTGCGGATTCTGTCAACTGCATTCCATCAGAGTGAATTTTTTTTCCAGCTACAACAGGTGCCTGCCACATCGCTGACTCTCATCTCAGTCGTCCGTCTAGCACTCTTCCGCTACATATCCCATCGTCGCTCTCGCCGACCTGCTTGCCCACTCCATTGATTCTACAATGCCACCCCCTTTTTCGACAGTTGTCTCCCTTTTCCTCGCCTACAGCCCGTAAACTCTGTAATGGACAAGAACAGCAAGATCCATTGCACCCTCCAATCCGCAAAACACACAAAATTCTATATTGGCCTTGCTATAATGGTATTTTGTTCACTTTATTGCAGATTAGGGGGTCGTTTGGATGGGAGATTGTGGCATGATTTTAAAACAATCTCACATAAAGAGAGATTTTAATCAAATAACACGTTTGGAAAGAGCAGGAATTGTGGCATTAAAGATTTTAAAAACCCACATATGTGGGATTTCAAAATAGCTTATGGGGGTCAGCTATTTCGAAATCCCTCATTATTATCTTTTCACTTCCAGCCGCTACCCCTCTACCCACTTCTTCCATCGTCATATCACCACACCGTCGTTCTTCCGCATATGCTCTGATCTCTCCCCCGGCTGAAGCTCTCCAACCACAGAGCATTGAGTTCCACTCTTCGACCTCTCCGACCACCCCAAGCTACAACCCGCAACACCACTGAAAACAGCTTCATCTCTGCACCCAATCTTCCTCGCGACCATCTCTGCGCTCAACCTTTCCTGTCATCAATCAATTCCAATCCCCACCCAATTAACGGACAGATGAAAGAAGCCGACAAACCCAACAATCGACCTCCCTCCGTCGCTGCGATCCGCCTTCCTCTGTCATTGACCAATTCCAAGCTCCCGTTGCAATTGACAAACTTAGCAATATAACCCTAATCCCTAAAATTAGGTCTGGTTGAAGAAGTCGGCGATTGGGTTTTAGGTTTTTTTGTGTCATCTTCCGTTTCTCCCTCTCACTTCGCCGGTCGAGTCTTCATCGTCGTGTATAGTGGGCGATTGGGTTCTTCATTGGGCGTGGGAAAGCTCTGTATCTGTCAGCTCTTCCCGTCGTCGCCGTCCAGGTTTCCCAAACCACCGGCAAAGTTGAATCCGCCACCTCCGACAATAGAACCTTCGCGGAGAAGCTCTATATCGGCCAGGTCCTCATATTCCCATCGTCGCCATCCAAGTTTCCCTAGCCACATGGACGAATCTTGCCAGAACAGAGATGGCAAAGAGTAGATGGACGACAGAGAAAGTGGAGGTTACAGGTCCTCTAGGTTGATGGAATAGATTTTTGGGGAGAAAGAAAAGGGAGAAGAAGATTGCATGGCGAGCATTAAAAAGGGCAATCTTGACATTTGAACATATCAATTAAAATCCGTGATCCATTCCCAAACAAGGGTTTTGTGTCAAATCCTACATATTAAAAATCTGGGGTTTTAAATCAGTAATTTGGACACAAATCCCACTCAAATCTCTCAAATTAAAAACCTGCATCCAAACCACCCAGGGGGTCGTTTGGATTAGGGAATGTGTAAATGAGGGATTTGGATTAAAATCTCTCAATTAAAAACCCAGGTATTTCAAACGTGGGATTTGATCCAAATAACATGTTTGGGAATAGATGAAGGATTTTAATTAAAAACTAAAGTTACAGTTATACCCATCCCTAATCCCTAAGGAAGAATAAGAAAGGAAGAACAAAAGGAGGGGCAGAGTTTGGAAAAGAATGAGAAAAAATGAGTGATTGTGAAATAACTGATCCCCATAAGGTATTTTAAAAACTCTCATATGAGGGATTTAGAATTTCCTCATGCCCACAATCTCTCACCTTTCCAAACGCAGAATTGTTTTAAAATCCTGCACAACGAGAGATTGTTTTAAAATCACTCATAAATCCCTCATCACATTCACTAATCCAAACCACCCAGGAGTTTTTGTGGAGGGGGAATTTTTGGTAGTTCATCGAAAGAAGAGGAGAAGAAAGTGGGAACACGAAGAGATGGGTATGGAATAAATGAGCATTTTCAGTTTTTTATTTTTATTTTATTTTTGGCTTTTTTTCTTTAGTTCACGTGGACTCTCACTACGGAAATGTCGTCTGGTAAGCATTTCTGTCAGACCATTCATACCGTTAGCTGACAATGTTAAAGGAACAGACGGGAGTGGCTATTTTGTGCTTTTCAAGAGTTGTGGCTATATTTTCCCCAAATGTGAAAGTTGTGGCTATTGATGTGTATTTTGCCTAATACTATTGTTATGTTATATTGGTTAGTTTAATTATTATTTTAGTTTGATCGGTTTATTTATATTATGGGTTATAGGTATAATATGTCACTCTATTATGAAGTTTTATCAAACATGCCCTTATACAAGTTTTTTACATCAAACATGCCCATGTACTTTGACAAAATTATCAAACATTCCCTTCTGCTAAAATTTCCATTGAAAAAATCGTCAATCATGGTTGAACCGAGATTTAGACGACCCGACATCCGCAAATGGGAGGGAAAATATTAGTTTTGTCCCCCGTTTGATTTCTCTGGGTCTTTTTAAAGTGAAATTATTTGGATATACAAAAGAACAAAAAAAGTTCTAAAATGAAATTATTATGGATATTTTAGTCATTTTTCGCCCAAACTAAAGTTCAGTGTTGGTTAACGGTTTTTGGATGAAAATTTTAACAAAAGGGCATGTTTGATAATTTTTACAAAGTAGAGGGACATATTTGATGTAAAATATAGTAAAGAGGCACGTTTAATAAAACATCATAGTAAAGGGGCATATTATACCTATAACACTTTATAGTATTGTATTTCACAACTAATTGAATTGAATTTTATTTATTTGGTAGTAAGCAAAACAAGCCATTTGAACATCTCTGGAGAAGGGAATAAAGAGCCACAGAGGGAATGGTAGCCTGATCACCTGGTGGGTCTCGTACTCTCGGGTATATAAGTTGTGGGTTTTCTAATTTTTGGTTTTTTCTAATTTATAAAGGGGAAGGCTAATATAGAATTATGCTATCTACTATCTGCTGTGAGTTTGTGTGATTTGGTTGTGCATCACAATAAAAGTTTCATTATTAGATATAGTAATATGATAATTAAATATTGATGTTATATTTCTTGTCACATAAACGCAAAATTGTACATAAAGAAAGTTAATAAAATGTTCAATAAGTTATAAATCTCGAATACAATAAGTTAGTTTGTGTAAATTCAGAAGAGATGGATTCAGAAAGAGATTGTAAGAGAACGAAGAGGTGGAGTGACTTGTTACCAAACAAACACCATTGCATGTCGTGGCTCCTCCAACGGCAACAACAACAAAAAATGAAAGTGTCCTCGATAAGTGGAGGCGCCCGCTTTTAGTGAATCGATTATTCTTCACTCTCGATTATAGTCGTGTACTGCTAGGAGCTGGTTGTTATGTTATTCGCGAGTTCATGGAGAACTGAAGACGAGTCAGACTAACCTTTATCAATTATTCCTCTCTTTTAACGAGTCAGACTAACACTTTATAAAGAAAGTTAATAAAGTGTTCAATAAATTATAAATCTCGAATACAATAGGTTGGTTTGTGTAAATTCAGAAGAGATGGATTCAGAAAGAGATTGGAAGAGAACGAAGAGGTGGAGTGGCTTGTTACCAAACAAACACCATTGCATGTCGTGGCTCCTCCAACGGCAACAACAACAAAAAATGAAAGTGGCATCAATAAGTGGAGGCGCCCGCTTTTAGTGAATTGATTATTCTTCACTCTCGATTATAGTCGTGTACTGCTAGGAGCTGGGTCTTATGTTGTTCGCGAGTTCATGGAGAACTGAAGACGAGTCAGACTAACCTTTATCAATTATTCCTCTCTTTTAATGAATCGATTAATTTATTCGACTATATTTATTGATTTGATTTTGTTATAAAATAAACATATACCACATGGACAATGGGATAGGTTACGGTGATTAATAAGGGCAAACTGGGTATGACAAAAAAATATTAATTACCTTTTTTAAGAAATTATATATTAGAAAGTTACAAAAATATATTATTTACAATTTTCTCTCTCTTTCTCTCACTTCCACAATCTCTAGTCAGATCTTTCTTCCTTCTTTTTCTCAATCTTTTCCTTGTTTTCGTTCAGCCGAACTATTACCGCTACAACAATAAAAATATACCAATCCATTAAAAAAATACTACCATTGCACAAAACACCAATACCATTCAAGAAATAAAAACACTACCATTTCATAAAACACCAATACCATTGCAGATTTAATCAATACCAATACATGCAAATCAATACCATTACATGATAATCAATACCAACGCAAAAAAAATAAAAAGAGAGAAAAACAATACTTATGCGAAAATACTACCAGTATAGTAAAAGAATACTACCATTTCAAAAAAAAAAAAACAATATCTACATGATAATCAATACCAATGCGAAATATAATACTACAAAAAAAATCAATACCAATATGAAAAATACATACCAACACGGAAAAAAAAAACAAATCTGCAATCCTTCGTCGGCTCCTTCTCGTAGCCACACCGATGACAAAAAGTTGACAACTCCTTGTCGGCGTAGATATATATATATGGATTCGACTCGTATGGTCCAGACGCATAGCATGCCCTAGATCTTTGCACCGTTGATCTAATCTAACCATCATTATAAATTTTATTAAAATTAATAATTATAATTACCACTTGCACCCCTTAAATAATTATACGTGCTATGAAGTCCCCCAACAAATATTACCGTTATGTTTTCTTGTACGTATTTTGTAAACTTCTTTAATTCAGCACCCAAAACTCTATAATTTATAAAATAGATAGCCATCAACCCACAGTCCAATTGAACCTCCATCGTCATCATCTGTTCACCATAAATTCCCCAATAGCTAACTGCGCATCATCATCAAAACCAAACAACAATCAAAACCTAAACCCTCATGGCGATCTAAATTTAATCCGTAAAATTCATGTGTTTAGGTTTTCTGATTATGCATAGTTGTGCTTGCTCCCCTCGTCCAACCCAAGACTCGAGCTCATCATCGGCTGTAGACCGGTCATCAACTCCAGCGCATCTTCGTCCCTGTTTCCGACCTGCAGCGACTTCAGCTCATCATCTACTTTAGGATGGCAGCGGACTGCAACCCTTTAGCTAAGAATCGTAATCAGTTGACGGTGAAGTCCTGTGAAAATTACTTGTGTGGAAATAATGAATATCGTCGTTTCCAAGATGCAGCAATCGGTGATGGTCGCCGTCGACAAACTCTTCCACAACAAGGTCTATAATCTATACGTCAATCGGACCTCCAAGTTTATGAGTGACGACGAGAAAGACGTATGCAACGTAGGAGATCGGGTAATTGGAGTTGCCCCCCTTCTCGCAGCGGAAGCGCTGCCGGCCGGAGCTGAAAAACGAAACAGAGAAACGACAAAGGGAGATATGGGGAAGAAGCAGAAGAGTCACGCCTCGAACCACCAACCTAGTCATTATCAGACAAAAGTTTCACAATCTATAATACAAAGCTTGTTTGATTTAGTTGACGTAAACCCTTAATAATAGCATAAAAGATTATTCTTCCAGCAAATTAAGCTTTCGCCTCACCATTTAGCTCCATCGTCGTTGTCGCCGGTTCCCAGCTCCAGCTGCGTCTCTCACCATTTCGCTTTGTTTCCCAGTCTGTTTGATATCTCCTAAATTATACCAGATGCCTTCGCTAATGTTCATAAGCTTTTACGTGCCATAGATACACCTATGTAATATGAAACAATTATAGAGTGTAATTGAAAAATTAAAAAAAATCTTCTTTAATTGTGATTTTGTTGTATGTACTATATACAAATGAATTCACCATGAAATGAAATGTGGTATTATTCTATGAATTACTTTACACGAATTGGCTTATTATACTCACGGCGTATGGAACTATCAATACTTAACTACTTGAGTTGACAAACTTATATGACATTTGGTATTGATTCATTTCGGAAATCTATGATTCATACTTGGGCCGCTTAAATCTAATGACGAATCATGTTCAATTATGCATACACTCATATAATATAAGGAAATATGATTAAATATGTTTCGATCCTTTGGTTTTCACCACAAATTTCACATTTTTTCAACTTGTTTATTAATCTTGTTTACTTACTCCCCTCTCAATTTTCTAATGATGATTCATACATAGTTCTCGAGGTTTTGCCCCTTACATCTCCATCTTCTCCTCTCGAACTCAATAGGTGAGATGGTGAACGAAGGTAAAACATAACACATCCCCAACTTCCTTTGAATTATGATTCATTTCTTGTTGCAAATATTCACTTGTAGCACACCATATCTCAATGGACTGACGTAATTAGTCTACCATGTGTACATTTTCGTTATGAGGGTGTTTTTCCAAAATCAAACTTTGTTGTTCTACATCATGTACTAGCAATCTCTTAGCGGTGGCTTGCTGGAAGCCCAGAGTTTATCATCAAAGATATCACTCTAATAATCAAATTAGATATGATTCTTGACATGATACCTTGATGCTTCCCTTAAACCCCCTCTTTCCACTTGGCCGAACCCGAAACAACCCCCACTATAACCTTCCAACCCAACTCTCTCTGCACCATCCCCTTGTAATTAGGTAGGAATTTAGCTAAACCATGATTTAATTAGCCTAACTAATTTTAACACTAGACATTATTTAAGTAATTACCATGTCACTATTAAATAACTTAAACCAATCCAAAACTTATTTCAACCGTTCATTTTACAATAGGTGATCATATAGGTCATACAACACAAAGAATGATGCTTGGACTTGAAGAGACAACTTGAGGAACAAGAGGATCTCATTTACCTAGCTCATACGCAAGAGCTCGACCTCGAATCGTTTACTAAAATTCAACACGAACTCGATCATTATGAGCTCACTAGCTTTCCTCGAGTGTGGCTAATCAATTACTTCATTTATCACTGAACTTTGTAAACCAGTGAGGCTAATTTTGAATCTATTTCAATAATGTAAAATGTAGTGCTTAATAAACCCTACCGGCCGTTCAGACCAAAACATACATAGATCGACAATTATCTTTTGGGTTATATTTGGTTGTCATAAACCCAATTCTCCTAAACCTAATTCTAAACCTAATTCACGGTGAACCTCCACCGCCATCTTTCAAAATCGCCAGTGCACATGGAAGTTGAAAATCAAACTTGACAACAAACGACCAGCAAACCCATTAGAAAATTACTCGTTTACACCATTTACTATAGTTTTTTGGGATGCTACTTATCGTGAAATAAAATAAGAGAATTATAATTTATGAACTAATTATGATACCAAAATAGCAAGAAAATTGAAGCAGAGTAATTACTTATAATTTCCCGCTAATTTGAAATTAGAAAAACAACAATTGCGGGAGTCAAAAAATCAAAACATTAAAATTCTCCCTCTTCTTTTTTCGGAAACCTTGTTTTTATCCGCCAAAACAATTTTTCATTTCTTTTCGACCATCCCATTCTACCGAAACAGAATCCTTTTCATTCTCCTTTTCCATTAATCGTTTAATGTTTCTGGGACATCTGGTCGATTATTCTTCGAAGCTAGTTCACTTTGCCGGCGGCTGAAGGTGTGGCCTTGTCGGTATTCTTCTTTTGGTTCCCTGGAGCCATGCGAAGATAAGTTTCCGAATCTCTGCACTTCCCTCGTCCCGATTCAGCTTTGATTCACTGAAAGAAACCATTGATTTTCTCTCCAACTCTGTTGTTGCCAAAGTTGCAGCCTCATCTTCTAGGCAAGAATCCTCGAATTCGAGCCAAGGCATCCATGTCCTTCTACCGGAGTGTTCCAAGATTGGTAAGAAACAGTCTTCTCACTCTGCCTTTAGTGTTTTTAGCTGTTGAACAATAATAATATCTGGCTGCCTTAACCATCTTGTTGTTCACTTATTTTACTGTATTCGAGTTTATGGTTATCTTTAATCCCAATTCAATCTTTGCCTTCCCTGACATCTTCTTTACAAACGTCAAATGAACTATCGTGTTTATTCCCCTCATTAGGGTGCTGAAGGAATCAACGGATATGGAATCGACAAATTGATTCTTGTTGTCGTACGCCAACTCAGTGACAAGCTTCCAGAATCAAGGGAAGCTGCTCAAACCCTGCTCTCACCTGTGTTGGCCGAGAAGGGACCATTCTGGGTTCTTAGCAGTGAGCCTATCCACTGCGTGAAGAGGTGTATTTCGTATATGAGTTCCTTAGTAATCCCTTGTCACACATTATATGATAATTTGTTGAGCAGAGTATATCATGCGACCCTTCTGTGTCTCACTAGCAATTCAAAATCTCCTTTCAGTGACTACTCGCTTGATTTTGATCTCTTGGGAGCTTGTTTGATCAACGAGTCAATTAGAGACTTGGGGGTCGTTTGGATAGAACATTTTTCAAATGAGGCAATTTGGAACAAATGTCTCAATTCAGGATATGAGTCAATTACATGAGAAATTTGTATAGAATTGTCTTGTTTGGCTTGTTATTTTGACATGAGACAATTGGGATGGAGAATTTTCCGAAAATACATATATGCCCTCATTATTTTACCCTTTTCCATTTTCTTTCTTTTCCATCTTCCTCTTGACGATGACAACGGTACACCACCATAATTAATATCAACAATGGCGAAATCCTTACCAGAAATTTAAGGGTCCCAAAATCTTTTGCTTGAGTAATTACAATAAGCAAGCCAATATTTTAATTCGAACGCTAACAAGTAACAAACCAAATTCAAATAATTTGAGATTCAGAGGAAGAAAAAAAAGCTAGTTGAGTTGGGATCAAATAATCGAATGGGTATCGAAACAATCCCCTGAGTCATGGATATCATGGCACACCCGATCTGTCGTCTACAAATTTCCCGTCCCGTCAAAGATGAGGAAGAAGTCAAGGTAAGAAGAAGAAGAGAAGAAGAAGCTTCCATGTTGTTGTGCAGAAGCCTTCAATGGCGATTTCTTCTTCTCCTTCTCCAAAGAACCCATGAATCAAACGACAAAACATCCCGATCAAGCAATCGAATTTCCCCTGAATCAAACAAACAGAACCCTCTTTTAAAGCAGAGGATCCAAAATCTTAACCGAAACGCTTCATTGAAAAAAAAATTACGAGGGCCAGGTTGAGCCACAACTTGCTCACATGCAGAATGCTTCCTCTTCCTCAACGAACCCAGGTCGAGCAGCGAATCTCTCTTTCCTCGTCACAAAGGTCGAGCAGCAAAAAGGTATGTGTTCGTTGTTTTGTCTAATCTTGGGCAGGTTTGCTTTTTGTTCATAGAGAAATTGAAGCTGCATTCATGACGAGTTGTTGTATGTTCCATCTCTACTTATTTTGTGCGGAGGGCTGAGGATGAAACAGATCTATTATATGCATAGTTCATGGATTATTCCAAGGGCATACAACTCTTGGCTCAAAGACTTCTGTTAGGAAACGGATCGATTATAAGCATAGTAAGTATTTCCTCTTTGCTTATTTTTCCAGTACGAGAAAGTCAATATTGGTGCATGTCGTTATTTGTATACCTTGTTGTCCTTCAACAGGTTCCCTGGTGAATAAATGTTACTAGGTCATGTTTATCGCTTTCTCCAGGTGTTTGATTTTATAGTTCAGAAGCTTCAAGCTCCGAGAAAACCTAAAATGAATATCCATATCCTTCAACAAAGTGTTCTTTTGAAGTACATGTGAGTTACTTTGCTGTCTTTTTGGTTGGATGCCTCAAATGAATACTTTATGGGGTATGATTGATTGTATTCTATCATTTTGATTTGTAAAGTGACGGTACTTGTGGTAGAAGTCAGCTGCTACAATAAACTACTCTGTCAATTGAATCTCTTCCTGCCACTGGTATATCATTGTCTTATAAGTATTTGCCTCAAATTGTAGGTACTCCATTTCCTTTTTCAAAGATCATGGCAAAGAGGTGTACATTGAAGTTTGCAGTGCATACATCTACACAATGTCCTTAAAGAAACCCACTACTACTTGTTGCAAAGCAGAGACCAAAGTTGTTGAGGTCCAGAACTAACTACCAAGCTATCAATACAGATACCTTACGAGCCCAAAACATGGAATCTACCCCTTTCTTCAACCAAGTATGTACCTCTCTCACTAATCTTCTTCTGCTGCTTTCATTTGGACTACAATGACATGTGTAGCTTTGTGATTGTCTTCCTGAGTGGATGGATGCGACTTGATCACCCTCCACGTCTGGAAGCTCGAGTTTCCTTTTTTTTTTTAATGGGTACATACGAAAGATCAAGTTCTAGACTGCTTAGCTTCACAACTACACCGCTCATACTTAAGACATAGCTGATACTTCATGTGACATAAAAAACAAAAGAAACCCCCTAGGTATTGTGTCTCTAGAAATAGCTCATACTTCTTGTCCTGCAATATAATATTAGTCGAACAAAAATAGACTGTGTGGAAGGTATACAGTTTCTAGATTCTTTCCATCAATTCAGCGATCAAACTGGAAATGAAATAATAAAATGTGATGGATTTTCCCACACATCTTGCTCTGGTGTGATGTTCAACATTTTTCCGTGGATCTCTTGTTCGACTTCTTGGACTGTCCCCTTTTCCGTGACATAAAAAACAAAAGAAACGAACACCGAAAATGTAAAATCCATAAAGGCTTTCATTTAGTTCCAATACGATGCAATATATTAATTTAACAAAAAACAAAACTGTTGAGCTTTTTGAGTTTGACTTTCTGAATACTTAGTGGAAGGTTTAGCACTATGTCCCGTATGCTGCTTAGCTCCCTTCTCTTGTCGACTAGGCATAGTATTACTCCTAGTACGTGCCCCCGATCTGTCACAGGAGGAAAACTAAACTCTTAAGCTAATAACTGCTTCAAACAAATGTACAATTTGGTGAATAAACCAATGCTACTTAACTTTCTGTGGTGGCTGACTTTTTCCTACGGATTCTACAGTTGTATTATGCCTACTGGTTCGCTAGTTCTGTAAAACCAAAATAACAACTTTAATTTATTGATTCTAATAATTATATCAAGAACACATAATCAGAGATGCTAATTACCTTTAGGGATGGCAATGCGTAGGGTCGGGTGCGGGTTTACCCGATACCAACTCCTAACCCGCCGGGTAGAGCCTCCTAAAATACCCTACCAAATAACCACCGGGTATGAAAATGATATAACCATACCCTACTGTCACGACCTTACTCTCGATCGTGCGGCCCTAGCTCTCAATTACGTTAGAGCGCTAGGCAGCCTTTCTCTCAAACTCACAAGCAAGCGAAGAACAAGAACAAAGACAAAGGATTGGGAGAACTCTCTAGTGTGTATTACTCTAAAAAATGATGGAATGAGTACAAATGAGGGAGATGGCTCCTTATATAGGCCTCTCCACATACAAGGCATCAATGCCCCTCATAAAGTCCCTCTACTACATCAATACACCCCATTAAGTCCCCCCATTACGCACTCTATCAATGTCACCATTATGTGACTCATAAGTGCACTATAAAGCTCTACATTATGGTGGAGAATCCTAGGAGCATCTCTATGCTACTAGTCTTCCATGCATGCCACATGTGATGCTGCCATGTTGTCACCTTGTTGGCGCCATGTCATCTGCCACATGTGACATCCTCCCCCACCTATGCTCGCGACGCCCTCGTCGCGTCCTCTTGATGGAATGCCTCGATCAAGTCCTTGTTCTTCCAAAGCGTGAGCTCTTTCTCCCATGTTGCTTCACTCTCCGGAAGGTTGCGCCACTTGACTAAGTACTCCACAAAGCTTGGATGTACGCCGCGACGAGGAATGACACGACGCGCCATGATTTCTTCGACTTCATGGTCGTGTGTCTTGGTGACGAGTGCTGGTGCGCGCTGCGGCTCCCTTCGCTGCTCGTCCTCCTTGTCTTCGTGGTAAGGTTTGAGTTGGCTCACATGAAAGACCGGATGGATCTCCAAGTGCGTCGGCAGCTCTACCTTGTATACCACATTGCCAATCCTCTTCACGATGGGGAATGGCCCTTCATAGCGGCGAAGCAGTCCCTTGTGCACGTTCTTGAGATGCTTGAAGCGATGAGGGTAGAACTTGACCATCACCATGTCTCCCTCTTCAAACTCCAAGTGCCGCCGCTTCTTGTCCGCCCATTTCTTCATCTTCTTGCTAGCGCGGGCTAAGTAAGACTTGGCCATCTCCATCTTCTCGTGCCAGCCTTTAGCGAACTTGTAGGCCGCCGGACTGTTGCCTTTATACCCCGTTGCCACCGTCGTAGGTGTCAAAGGTTGCTGCCCCGTCGCCAACTCAAATGAACTCGTGTTGGTCGACTCGCTGCGGTGTAAGTTGTAGGAAAACTGCGCCGTGTCCATCAACTTCACCCAATCTCGTTGGTTTGCACTCACGTAGTGCCGCAAGTACACTTCCAACAAGGCATTCACCCGCTCCGTCTGTCCGTCGCTTTGAGGATGAAATGCCATCGAGAAGTTCAAGTTTGAGCCCATGATCTTGAACAACTCTCGCCAAAATCTGCTCATGAAGCGCCCATCTCTGTCGCTCACGATGCTGCTAGGAATGCCCCAATACTTGACCACGCTCTTGAAGAATAGTCGTGCCGCATCCTCCGCCGTTAAGTCTTTTAGCCCAGGAATGAACACTCCATACTTCGAGAATCTGTCCACCACAACCATGATGCAACCGCATCCATCGACTTTGGGAAGTCCGATGATGAAGTCCATGCTCACACTCTCCATGGTCGTTGAGGCGTGGGCAAGGGCTCTAGCAAGCCTGCCGGGCTTCTCTGCTCCATCTTGTCTTGTTGGCACACAAGACAAGTCTTCACATACATCTCCACGTCGTCTCTCATACGCGGCCAGAAATATGCTTCTTCGATGAGCGCTTGCGTTCTCTCGATGCCGGGATGGCCCGCCCACTTGGAATCATGGCACTCCTTCATGATCTCCTTCCTCAAGTTGGCCCATCTTGGCACGAACACCCGCTCTCCCTTGGTCATGATGAGCCCATCCTTCATCCAAAACCGCCGAGTTTTACCTTGCTCAATGTACTCCGCTACGGTTTTGGCGAAGGGGTCATGGCCAAGGCCTTCAACGATCCGCTCCTTCAAAGGAAACGTGGGCTGGCTGATGCTTGCGGCTGCACTCTTGCGGCTAAGAGCATCGGCAACGGAATTCGCCTTGCCTGGATTGTACTCCATGACGAAGTCGAACTCGGCCAAAAAGTCTTGCCACCTTGCTTGCTTAGGGGTGAGCTTCTTCTGCGTCAGAAAGTAGCTCGTTGCCACGTTGTCCATCTTCACAACGAACTTTGACCCCCAACAAGTAGTGCCTCCATGTGCGCAAGCAATGCACCACGGCCGTCATTTCCTTCTCTTGAACGGTGTATCGTCTCTCCGTCTCGCTGAGCTTCCGACTCTCGAAGGCAATGGGATTCCCATCTTGCATCAACACTCCTCCAATCGCGAAGTCGGACGCATCGGTCTGCACTTCGTAGGCCAACGTCGGGTTGGGGAGCACGAGCACGGGCTCCTTCATCACCGCTGCTTTCAAGGCCTCGAATGCTTCCTGGCACCTTTCCGACCAATCCCACGCCTTGTTCTTCTTCAAGAGATCCGTCAAGGGTGCTGCAATGTTGGAGTAGTCCATGATAAACCTCCGATAGTAGTTGGCAAGGCCGAGGAATGACCGCAATTCTGGCACCTTCGTCGGCGGCTTCCATTCTTGGATTGCCTGCACCTTCGCTCCATCCATCTTCAATTTGCCTCCACCAATAACGTGTCCCAAGAATGGAACCTCCGTGGCGGCAAATGTGCACTTTCCCTCTTGACGTACAACTCGTTGTCGCGAAGGACTTGGAAGACTTGGCGTAGGTGCTCGGCATGCTCATCGAGTGTTTTGCTATACACGACGATGTCATCCAAGTAGACCACGACAAACCGGTCCAAGAATGGCTCGAACACTTGATTCATCAAAGTGCAAAACGTGGCTGGTGCGTTGGTGAGACCGAATGGCATCACAAGAAACTCGTAAGAGCCATACCTCGTCACACAAGCAGTCTTTGGCTCGTCGCCCTCTGCTATCCGCACTTGATAGTAGCCCGAGCGAAGATCTAGCTTGGTGAACCACATTGCATCTCCAAGCTGGTCGAACAAGTCGGCAATGTTGGGAATCGGCCACTTGTTCTTCACCGTCAACTTGTTGATGGCTCTATAGTCGATGCACATCCGCAACAACTCTTCCTTCTTCTTTTGGAACAGCACCGGTGCTCCAAAAGGTGACTTCGATGGCCGCATGTAGCCTGCGTCCACCAAGTACTTGAGTTGCCTCCGCAATTCTTCTAACTCCGGTGGCGACATGCGGTATGGTGCTCGCGAAGGGGGCTTCGCTCCTGGCTCCAACTCGATCTTGTGGTCCACCTCTCTTCTTCGTGGCAGCTTCTTGGGCAACTCCGATGGCATCACATCATCGAACTCTTCGAGGACACCTTCAATGATGGGAGTTGTGATTCCCGTTGAGCCTCCTTCTTCCTCCATCTTCAAGGACACAAGAAAGGTTGGTTCATTCCTCTTGAACCCCTTCACCACTTGCATGGCCGATAGAGCACTATGGGGACCATCTTCTCTCAAGAGATGAACAGCATGGAACTCCCCTTCCTTCTCCAAGCACATCGTGTTGGAGTTGGGCTTCAAAAGCACTCCCTCCTTGTCGAGGAAGTGGATGCCGAGGATGACTGGGTGATCGTCCATGGTGACGACGGAAAAGTCGATGAGGCCTTCCCACTCGCCAAGCTTCATTGGTACGTTGTGAGCAACTCCATGGATCGGGATGGACTCCGAATTGATCGTCTTGAGCCTCCCTTGCCCCTTCTCGTAGGCAATACCCAGCCGGTTTGCCTCCTCGACGCGAAGAAAGTTGTCCGTGGCACCGGTATCCACCAAGGCTTTTGACTCGCCTTGCATGAATTGCGCCAGAACATAGCACCTCCCCCGCTTGCTCTCCTTGACGTCGGTCTTCGCCGCGCCAAGCTTGCGGATTGAGCCAATCTTGGCCTCCGCCGCCTTGGGCTCCTCATCTTGAGCTTCCATGGCTGCTAATCTCGCCTTCCTTGGGCAATCTCGCACTCGATGTGGTCCGTCGCAAAGGAAACAAGTCATGGGTTTTAGCTCGTACTTACCCCCTTTGCTCGAACCACCTTGGTGTTGTTGAGTGCGAGAACCCTCCTTGAAAGGCTTCTGCTGCTCTCCACCCTTGTTGGGCTTCGAACTCTTCTCTTTGCCGCTGCTCTCTTGTCGTTTGTACTCGACCAAAGACTCCGCCGTGGCCATGGCAGTTGCAAGGTCTTGCACTCCTCGATGTTGCATCTCCATCTTGGCCCATGGTTGCAGCCCATCAAGAAAGCCGTGCATGGCCTCCTTTTCCGTGATGTCCGGGATCTCTAGAAGCAGCTCCGAGAATTCTTTCACGTATTCTCGAACTCCACCCCTCTGGGTGAGTCTTCTCAACT